CTAACAAGCATCAAGTAACAATCAGGGGGTTGTAAGGACAGAATGTCTCTGTGCAGTGCACAATGTGAAAAATATCTTCATACCTAAACCACTGGATGTTTGTGTGAGGCATGGAGACAAGTATGTAGTCCCACCTAGAGGCCCACTTGATAGAATTGTTTTCCTGTAAAAGGAAGTGAAATTATTATTATTTTTTAAATTTCATTTTCTCTTAGGTACAAATAAATTATAATACACATATTTGTTAAATAATACAACAGATCATACAGTCTGGCAGCCTACCTCAAATGTAACCGAGTAGGTGTAAACTATTGACACATCATTATCAAACTCCCCAGGGACCTCCATTGGGCTGCCTCCTTCACAATTTGGGTTTTTCTCATCTGCATTTTTGATACTGTTGTGCACAAAACACAGAAAATCCTTCATGTCAGATTATTAATGTTATGGCAGATAATCGTTTCCTCTTACATTTCATATATATATATATATATATATATATATATATATATATATATATATATATATATATATATATATATATATATACACACACACACACACCTTTTCTTAGTATTATACTCTTTATTAGTCTGTTAACATATGCAGGGTTTAGGTCAGAGCTGTGAGTGTTTTTCCTCTCTTGCTGTTCCTCTTCTCTCCTTGAATGTTCATTCAAGGCCGGGAGAATATCTCTGTTCCCCAAAACATAGAAACCTAGACTGTGTAAATGATTATGCATCCCTTTGCTCGGGGCCGGATGCCCGAAGCTGCCCTAGGCAGCAGGTCTCTGGACCAGCGGTATATGTGTTAGCCTATGGTACTTCTCGGTTTATTCTCTTTTATTAATAAATTCTTAAAAGACAAGGGGTTGTTGTAACTCAATTATTTGCTCAATATCTCACAAGCATTATACAATTTCCACAACAATTAATTAATCTGGGTTAGTTTTGGATGGTGATTTGTCATTCAGTTGCAACATATTGAGATAAATTAGACCCAAATCAAAATACGGTGGCACCATATCTATCTACTACCAACCATAATTACCTCTTTGGCTCCAGCGTGGCAGCGACCAGCCGAGCACCTCGCCATCCCTCTAATGCTCCACTGTGGTAAGTGATCCTGATGTCCACATGGTTGAAGACGTAAAATGTGTTCTTCTTGTTGAACTCAGCCTGAGAAAAAAAAACACACTCTTATTCAATATCTGGTACTCAGGGTAAGATTTTTAAACAAATATCTGTATTTTCAATCATTTTATTAATTCAAAGAATTTGAACAACCAACTTCACCATTATCCTACTTAAGAGTATGTCAATTTGATATTTTTGGTTTCATCAATGACTTTGTGTCAATAAGTACATGAAATACTGTTACATAATCTATCCATAAGTATCATCACATACTGATTGAGACTTTAAGTGACAGTTAATTGTAAATTTAACACTACTTTGGAATTATTATTAAAACTAGCCAAAAATTATTACGCTTAGTTATTATTATTAGATATGAAAATGCTAAATTACACCCTTGACAAATTCACAGATCCTGGGTAACTCAATATATCAGAATGATGATGACCAGATGACCAATTAGGTAAAACTTAATATTTTAAGTAGAGTACACATTCAAAGACAAAAATAATAACTCACATTGATAACGCAAGCATCTTTAGCTCTGCCATCTGAGGTAACGAGGCAGCCAATGGGAAAGCCCGGGTTGCAGTACTTCTGACCATCTTCCACATCATAGCACCAAGTCACCGGCATGTTGTCAATGATCCTGAAATAATAAATTGGTTTACATTGTCAAGCTTCTTGATAAATAAAGTTTGTGTGCTTATGTCTGCTGGCTGACAATTTCACCACTGCTGTTGTCCAACTTTCAAACAAAACCTCCACACTACAAATGACTCACAAGTAAAGACTTACAGTACAGTAGAGCTGTAGATTTTGACATTTCTAAAAAAAAATTTACTCAAACCGATGAATACATTATCAATATAGTTGCCGATTAATCTAATAGTTGACAAATAATAGATTAATTGTTGCAGCTCTACAGTACAGCAGGCCTATGTCTTTTACTAACCAGTGGTGCTGGTAGTTCAGCTGCATTCCCATCTTAAGAAAATCCAGTTTGGTTGCATCCGCCTGGATGCCTTTCTTGTAGGTCTTTGTGCACACCCATTTGCATTTAACATCTTGTTTGAAGATGAACTGTAAAAAGCAGATGAGAGTTCTGTTACATCACAAGAATTCATTAAACAAATGGAATCTATATGGAGTCTATAATATGCAACACCATAAATGCCATATGGTTAACACCCACCTTGTATGGTGAAGACTCAATTCGTTCACCAAACAGCACCTGTCCAAGATTCTCTGAAGGCCTCTTTTCCATGTCATCTTTGCAAAAGTCAAACCTTTAATACATTTACAGATGGTTAAACGCAATGACAAGATGGTATTGAGCTTAGAAACATATCCAGACAAATGGCATGAAGTAGAAGCTAAATGCTACTTACACATCATACTCATAAGGCAGGACTGACTCCACTGAGTCCAAGCGATTGACAAACAACTGAATCTGTGTCTGTAAAGAAGCAAAACAAACCAGCATCCTTGAGTCTAAATTTGTTTAATAAAAAAAAAAAGCTCATTCTAGGGGTTACAGTTAAAACGTTGTGGTAGATATTATATTTGATCGGTCTCCCAAAAGGGTAAATGATTTGCTAGATCCCAACGTCTTGGTCAACCCAAACTTGCCTGCTCTCTGCCAGGTAACGTTAACGTTAGCAAAGCAATCAATGTTAATGGTGTCTGTTATCTGTCATAATTCATTAACGTTATTTGAATTAATGTGCTAAAAGTATAATGCTACGCAGGTGAACTTATTTAAGGAGAATTTATACATTTCCTTGGCAATGACAGTGTCCATAAAAACAATTAGCAATGCATCAGAAGACCAGTGCTCAGGTTCCAAGTAAGTTAATATCGGGGCCTAAGAAAAGGGCTGGCTAGCTAGCAAGATGAAGGAAGATAATACATTGAAATTAATGTGCCAATTCCAACTTCAACAGAACGTCCACTACATTAAATAAGAATTGTGAGTTATATGAATTCACTATACCTGGCAATCTTCAGCACCCTTTCCGTCTTCACAAAAACTCACTGGGGCTAAACCCGGAAGATAAAACGCCGAGCACGAACAGAAATACAAGACTAGCAAATTAAACAGCACAAAACCAAAGTGTATCCGCCTCTTCATTTTATCGAGGACACGGTTCTTTGAAGATTTTGTATACTTATGTCAAAGGAGCGCCTTTCTTCTTCTAAGGGAAGGGAATGTTTGCTAGCTGTGCACTGTTAGCTGCGTCTTTCTGCTCGGGACCCAGAGGCTGAATTGTGCTGTCGAGTAGAACCAGCATCCGTAACGTCGAAAGCGGAAGCCACCGGAAGTCAAATGAGTTTACCTTCGAAATAAATACATATAATAAACAATCTGCTTAGTATGAACGATTATTTACATTTATTGCTGAACTGGGCATACCCATCTTATTTTGATATGATCAATTTGTATAAATGTGATTATAAACAATTACATTTTCAAATTGAGCCACACGTACATCGCATATCGTTTTACATTGAAAGGACTAAATCGGATGTCATATTTTCTGACCGGCTGGACACCGTGGAAGTGTTGCACTGACGTTGCTTACCGATTCCTCCATAAACATCCTGGTTTTTAGAGAAGCTTTACAATGCACAGAAGTTATAAAAATGCTTAATGAAATGTTACATATGTTGTACAAAATATAGATACGAGAAAGCGAGGGAAAATAGTGGGGGAAACAACATTCGGATACTGGCAAATTTTCGATATTATTGTAAAAGACCCCTTAGTACGTCGTGTAACTTAACGTTAGCCTAAAGAATTACGACATGATATGTGGTTTCGATCCGATACCATGTAATACAGGGCCTTGATCACTCTAGAACTGCTCATAATATTACAGATATTATACTTACTATCGTCGATTATCCTTGTCAGGTTCGAGGTAGGTTGTTTGAGTGCACACAACACCACAACAGCAGTGAAACTGTTGAAACCAGTACCTGCATAACCTGTCTCAGGGGACGAAGCATTTGTAGTCAGGGCCCCGAGGCTCTGGAATAGCCTGCCCGAGGAAATCAGGGCGACTGAGTCAGTGAACTCTTTTAAGTCACTTATTAAAACATACTTTTATAGGACAGCCTTTCCCAATTATTTTATTCTGTTTATGTTTTACTTTATTATATATATTTAGATTTAACATGTATTTTAGTCTCTTAAGTGTTTTCTTGCTTTTATCGTGTATTTGTGTTTTATTGCCTTTGCACTTGTTAAAGCACTTTGTAACTTGTTTTTGAAATTAGCTCTATAAATTAAGATTATTATTATTATTTTTATATTACAACCCCTGTTTGTGTTACTTTTTGGACAACATGGTTACCTGCCATAAGCTAATATCGGCCTGGCTGATTTAGCTTTTGAAGTGAAGTACAGGATCATTTTGAATTTGTTCATGCTACTGTCCTATTCTGTAAGGCAGGGGTTTTCAAAGTCTGAGTCTGTGGGCCTCCCCATACACAAAAGTTTGGAAAAAGGCTCCTGCTCACACCCCCTCAGTTTAGGCTACTTGCTTAAGTTTAACTCTATTCCAGGCCTATGGGATCATGATTATGTTATTTGATCCCATAGACACTCACCAGTTGAGCCAAGATAGCTTAACATTGCTGTTTTGATAACTTCAGCCTACATCAAATACATAAAATAGGTGTGTCCTAAGTTATATATTAGTTCTGACTCTGGGAAAGTGGGAAAGACAGTAAACTTCCCCAAAACTACCATTATGTTACTCTATTTTAGCCTATATACCTTTACCCGAATGACGCACATTTAGGTTATTATATGTGATCTCCTTTTGACAACCAATGTCATATTTTTTTCATTCAGTTATCATCCCCTGAAACTGCCTGGTATGGAGCCTTCCACTTTGAAATCCTCTGCTGTAAATGGGTGGATAGAAAAACAGGTAACCTGATTCGCGGTTTCGAACTGTAGGCGGCAGCGTTACGCATTGGGTCGTCTGGTCTGCAAACAAGAGAAGAAGACGGAAGGGAGTAGAAGAACCGTTGTATCCTGTACAAAGCAGCGGCATAACGTTAGTGCCATACTGTCTGGCAGCATCTAGGTGCGTGTTTGTGAACTTAATATAACAATAGTAGTATTGTTGTTTTTTTTAATGTTTTTAAAGTAGCGCGTTGGCGTTTGTAAAGCTCGAGTCCCCAGTTAGTAAACGCAGACTTGCTAGCTAGCGTTAGCCAAGTAACTAGCACCAACCGCTGGCACGTTTATCGCCATTTTGCGCATTCAACAGCCGTAGACTTTTGCCTGCAGCAAGGTAATCAGACATGTTTGGATACTGAGGCCAATACAACGTTATATGCTTGCTTGTGTTTTCAAATGCTCAAAATTTCAAATGACACTACGACCCTTCATTTGTTGCAGGTGGTGGATTCTGCAGCATGGCAGAGGCAGACCGACCAGGGAAGCTCTTCATCGGTGGGCTGAACACCGAGACCACCGAGAAGGCCCTGGAGCAGTACTTCAGCAAATACGGCAGGATTGTCGAAGGTGAGAATGTAGGCACGGTTGGTTATTTAATTCTCAGAGCGTACCATTGTTAACTCTGGATAAAGTATTTAACATTAATTAGGAAATGCTGTTTCAGGTATTTTCTTAAAATCTACCCAGTTTTTGCAAATAACTACCTTTTTAATAGTGTGTGTGTGTGTGTGTGTGTGTCCTAACCACTTCGCTCTTGTAAAAGCATCAAATGTCTAACGTTACCTATTAAGTTTTTTGGAAGCCGGCAATTACATTTAGACTCATGTTCACTTAAGGCTCATTTTTGGAGTTGGTAGTTATAAATCAGTGAATTTATTTTTGATAGGAAATGTTTAAAAATTGGATAAATGCATCGATGTCAAATAAACCTGTAGTTTAACAATCTGTTGTCATTTCATATTATTTCAGCAGACTGCAGTGCACAATTATGGACCAGCTCCGGTCCCCTTTCTCTCTTCACTTAACATTAAGCTTTTTCGGGGCAACCCTTATTGCAAAATACCTTGTTTACCACTCTATGTAGTTTCATTTGGTAGCAGGAAATAAGAAACCATTGCAGTTTCAGTTAGTAAAATGTGGCTAGTAAAAGAGCACGCTTTTGTCCAGCTTAAACTGTTGAAAAATTGTTGTACTTTTTGTCAGACAATAGTGTAATCACAAAGCACAAGCTCACTCACTGTCCTTATTTCAGTTCTTTTGATGAAGGACCGTGAAACAAACAAATCAAGAGGCTTCGCTTTTGTTACTTTTGAAAGTCCTGCTGATGCAAAGGATGCAGCACGTGAGATGAATGGAAAGGCAAGTACTGTCTTTAATCAGCCGTAACCTTTAAAACAAACAAACCAAAAAAAATAATGAAATCTGGTTGTAACTGTAACTCTTCTACCACAGTCTCTTGATGGCAAGCCTATCAAAGTTGAGCAAGCTACAAAGCCTCAGTTTGAGAGTGCTGGCAGGCGGGGACCTCCACCCATGCACTCCCGCAGTCGGGGTCCACCCAGAGGCCCCCGTGGTTCCAGGGGAGGTCCTGGTGGTATGAGGGGCCCACCATCCAGAGGCAAATGAGTTATTTATTTAGTTGTTTTAGTTTGTCAAATAATAGAATGTGGTCAATTGTAATACATTCTCATTGCATGTAATTTGTTATGGTTATACACATTTTGACCGCAGTGTGTTTTTAATATTTGTAATTCTTGTCTGTCAAGACTACTATGATAATTCAGGGAATGCAGAACCCTTCTTCAAAGGAATGTCCTCCAGAGGCCCCCCTCCATTGAAGAGAGGACCTCCAGTTCGCAATGGAGGTCCTCCTTCCAAGAGGTCTGCCCCATCTGGTCCAATGAGCAGACGTAAGTGTGAGGGAATTTTGTTACTACTTATCACTTACCATCTAGTTCTCCAGCAAGTACCCTGCTGGGCTGCGTGTATCTCAGGGTTATTTGGTGATTAATGAGCAGGTTTGTCATTAATTGGTGTGTTCCAGCCCCCATGTCAAGGGACAGGGATCCCTATGGTCCACCTCCTCCTCGCAGAGACTCCATGATGTCCAGGAGGGATGATTATCCATCACCAAGAGATGAGCATTACAACTCAAAGGATAGGTAGGACACACATACAAGTTTTTGCCAACTTGGGGGGGGGGGGGTATAAGAAATATTTGAATCCAGATTGAGATGTTATCCAAATTCTTCTCTTGCTGCTCAAGTCTGAGCTGTCCTACATCTGAGAAGATAAAACTCCACAAATGTTTAAGTCTAGTGCAATATAAAACTTCACTGTATATATCTTTGGGGGGGAAAAAAATCTTAATACATGAACTAAAATTTTATATATTTATACTGTTTCACAGCTACTCCAGCCGGGATTATAATTCCAGAGATTCGAGGGACTACGGACCTCCTCCTAGAGATTATTCGTACAGGGAATACTCCAATTCCAGTTCCCGAGATGACTATAGCTCAGTGTCAAGAGGATACAGGTATGAGTATAGGTTTTAAAAAGTTTAAAGTCACTTGGTCGTAAACTAATAATTGTTTGCATTATGTAGTGACCGTGATGGTTATGGGGGAGGCCGGGAACCCAGAAGCTATATGGACCGTCCAAGTGGTGGCTCCTACAGAGATTCATATGATGGTTACGGTAAGATATGACTCCATGAGTGTATGACAACAGGTCACAAAGAAGAGCTGCACAAATAACCACCCAAATCACAGCTCAGACTACTGCAATATCCAGTCACAAGATGCTGCAGTCTTTCCCCTCCCCAGAGGAAACCGCATTTCAAGCAGCCTCTTTTTAAACATTTTTTCTCTCCCTTTGCTGCATCTCTGACCTGCAGTCCAAGTTGCGTATTTTCATGCTATTGGAAATTATATAACCATTGGCATCTCAACTGAAAAACAAAATTATATTCAAAAGCTGTGTCGACGCATCAGTCCATATAACCGCTGCAGTCAGCAAAACAATCAGTGTTTTGTGGCAATATCAAGCAGAAATAACAATATTTATTGTGCCCCAGAGAGTTTGCAATCATAAGGAACCCCAAAAAGTCCTTGGAAACATCCGTTGACCACTCAATATGTGTTGCAAAGCACTCCCTCAAGGAGTAACGTTCAAAAAACCATCAAGACAACTCTGAAAACCTCGTCCTTTCCTGCAGTTCTAACACTTGGAGCTCTAAAAGGAAAAATGGCTACTCAAATCAATGGCATGCTGAAAAGGGTAACACTGCCCATTTATTCCCTGTGCTTGGATATGTTCCTGCCCATGCCAACTAATATCCATGTTAAATGTAAGATCGATAACATGATGGGACATTTAAACATGTCGTCCATTAACTTTATTTGTCACAGAATGAATTCTATTGGCAAAAAAATGAGCACATGACAGTGCAAGAAAATGTGTCAATTGAACCTTGCCAATTACCTGACCCATTGACCCTGCAGGTAACTCTCGCAGCGCCCCACCTTCACGGGGCCCCCCACCATCCTATGGTGGGAGCAGTGGAAGCAGTCGTTATGATGACTATGGCAGCAGTTCCCGGGATGGCTATGGCAGTCGTGACAGTTACCCCAGCAGTCGGAGTGACCCATATCCACCTAGCCGTGGTGAGCGATTGGGCAGGCAGGAGAGGGGCCCAGCTCCCCCTGTTGAGAGAGGCTACCCTCCTCGTGATTCATACAGCAGCTCAAGTCGTGGAGGGCCACGCGGTGGCCGCGGTGGCAACCGACCCGATAGAGGAATGGCTCGCAGCAGATACTGAACTGGACTTGGAGATCACATTAAAGCATACGTTCTCGGTGCACAGTTAACAGTTGTTTTGGAAATCTGACCACAAAGACAAACCAGCCATGTCTAACTCTGTGGAATATGAAGCTTAGCTTTCAACTGTACCTTGACTTTCCCAGTTTTTTTAATGTGTAAAAGTTATTTGTTTATTTTATTTTTTTTTTAGTATTTCCCTTGCTCATGTAACAGTACAGTTACCAAGTGAGTGTTAGTTTTTGTAAATTCAGTGCTGTTGGAATCTGCAATACCGTAAAAGTCTGGCTACTCTAATAAAGCTTTTAGTTGTACCTTGACCACTGCTCATCGATTTTCAAGACCAGACCAGAGCCAGTAACATGAATGTTGATTAACAACATGATCTCCTTTTTACAAAGTTTTCTGTAAAGCTTGGATGAGTCTCTGCTCATGCTTTATAAATAGTCGAGTGACTTCATTCTTAACACCAATGTGCCATCAAGTGGACGCTACTGTTTTCAAGGGTTAGGCAAATGTTACTGTCAAAATGTTCCAATGTAGTTTCCTTGGAAATGGATCATCACCCTAGAGCCATTTGATGGCATGCAACGAAAAACCAAGGCAACAACAACCAAATGCAACTCGACTGGTAGTCAACAGCTGGTAAGCAAAGCAAACCTCTTTGTTTCTCATCTGTAAATGAGTTTCTCATTGTCCTGTATTGCAATCTCCCCTCAAAGGGAGATACTCAAGACAACTTTTGCCTCAAAAGAAAAGAGGACAAAAGAAAAGGGGGAGGTCAACTGAATGTGCCCTTTTCATTGTAGTCCGTTTTCATCAGCTAAAATTGTCAAAAGTGCAGCAACATCCCAAGAAGTTTTCGTCAACAGCCATTTTGCCAACTGAGCCCTCAAAACGATGACCCCTTTTTGCCTAACCAATCGTCCAAACCTCAGTAAAATGATTGGCAACAGTGCATTTTTAAATCCTATAGTAAAGATTTCTAGATATTTGTAAACTTTTTTTTTTTTCTTGGTATAACTTGAAAGCACTTTTTTAAATTTAAGAGCCATTTTCTCAATATGAAAACATTTTCGACAAGCATGCCAATTCAAACAATGGAGACCCCTGGAAGAACACCATCGTCATAACTGCCAAACTGGACACAATCACTGAAGCAAATTCGCAGTCGGACCAAGGACTACAAAACCATTTTCAGTTTTTTTTTGTTTGGTTTTTTTATGAATACATGATTAAGAGAAGGGCAACATGTTAATATTACATTCTCATTGCAGGATGAACACCGCTCCAAGGCTACTGCCCTTGCAACTTACCTGAATTGTGTCCTCAAGTTGTTGGACCAATGAAACCATAGTGCAGCCACGGTGCACCAGTGCAGGTATGTCCACCAGACTAATTGTAATAATGAAAGGAAAGTGGAGGAACATTATAAGTTATAAGCACAGCAAAATGGTGAAAGTACACTATTTGAAATGCAAATGACCACCAAGGTTGTGGTATAATGGAATTGTATTGCTGTAAAATTAAACTGTTATGTAATCAGTTTTTAATGTTAACTTTGTTTCAGATGCTGGTGCAAGCTTCTGTTGAAAGTGCTGGTTGAATCGTTTCAAGTGGAAATGCGTGTTGAAAGTGGGAAGAACACAGGCCGAGGATTTGCTCAAATTAAAATTTGGTGGGGTTTTTCAATAAAGACTTTAAAAGTGATTTGTTCATTACGTTTTTTGTGGTCTTTTCTCTGAATAATGCATTTGGCACAAATCCTCCCAGAAGTAATTACTTTAAGTGTGTGTATATCTATCTATCTATCTATCTATTGAGATAATAAATACTTTTTTTTTTTTTTTTTAATTTCTCCCACCACTGGGATTCTGAAGCTTTTCTAATGGTGAAAAATAAGCATTTAACATGACTAATTTCTACCTTTAGTGAATTTAAAGATCTGTCAAACATGATTTCTTTCTACCTGCAAATATCACAATTCAGTCAATGTAAATTATGGGTTGTGATAGCAGAAGTGATAACAGCTGTATGACTATTGGTATTTGTTTCTGTCAGAAATCGTTGACTCATTTTGCATCGTTATCTTTTAAACTATACTGTGCTCATTAATCACCAAATGACCCTACCAATGTGAGCAGAATACATGTCAGACCTACTGCTCACACATCCTGAGTGATTCCTATACTAAAAAGTACATTTTCTGTTGCGAAATATGCGGATGCGCATCAGATACCAGTCCCCTGGTGGTGTTTCCTTATCATTGCTGTATTTTAACTTGTAATATAGGAGAAAATGCCCTCTGCCAGCATTTTGTAGAGGAGAAGAAAAGCCCTACTGTGTATTGTTGAGGTGCCTATTTGCCAGTAGGGGTGATCATCAGTTTTGCGTATAGAAACAGCGTCGTCCTTCCCCCACCGCCTCTTTTTTTTAACTTCTAGCAGAAGTGCGGATGTGAGTTGCATATTGATACGGAACAGGCCGCTAGTTTTTTTTTTTTTTTTAGCAATGTGTGCTTAGGCAATGATCATTTTGTGGAGCTATGAATCCAGAGGAGCAGACTGTAACGTGGTTAATATCACTAGGAGTGCTCAGCTCGCCTAAAAAAAATATAGCGGACCCGGAGGAGTTTTTGAAAACATCGTTGAAGGATGGGGTCGTCTTGTGCAAGCTCACGGAGCGGCTCATACCTGGCTTCACTCCCAAGGTGAGTTGTTGATTTAAGTTAACTTAAGTTAATAAATGCCATATGATCGACTGCCCGTGGTGAAAGAAAGGGAGGGGTTAGATTAAAATGATACCGACGTGAAGTTCTCCCTGCAGCGGGCCTTTCATTTTTATTGCTCACGGTGCTCGAGCCGGGAAGTTTTAACAGCTGCATGTTTTGTATGATGCTTAATGCATCGAACCGCTGCTGCATTTTGGTGAGTTTTCAGGTGTGGGGTTTCAAGATGTGATTTCCTGTGAACCCAGGAAAATGTTCCGCATTCTTGATACGACTGAGTCGGCGTGTGAACACCCACCAAAACAGGACAGATTTTGTAGGAGTGCGTGAAACATTGGACATAGACCATATTAGAGCGACCAAGTAGGGGAGTCCACCCGACTCGCAGTTGTTAAACAACTTTGACGCGATAAATCAACGTTAACAACATGCTTGGTTTAGTTGTTTAGATGACAAAGTTGATAATGATAAACAACAGTTGCAAAGACAGTTCGTCACTTCCTCTTGAAAGGCTCGGCTCTTCCAGGTGCGACCTCCCCTTTGACCAAGTGACTTCAATGTAACGGGAAATGGCTAACCAGAATAAAACCGGAAGTAGTAACTTCTCTCTTGAATGATGTGCTGTCCTGCCTAGTTTGTTGCTCTTTCTGTTGGGCTGTCATTCATTGTCCTAAAAAGAAACAGTCTAGACTTAAAAGCAGTGAAGACACCAACTTGTCCCCTATATTCATTTTGGAGCGTTGCGACGCGGCCGTTAAAAATAATTTTATTTTGAAAGTTGGAAAAGTCAGCGGATGTTTTACTTAAATCTGGCTACTTTGACGTTGATGTGGTGTTAATGGTTATGTATTCTTGAAGAAGACGCAGAGGGAATCCACAGTTATTTTGTCAACTGTAGGGCAACACATTTGGATTGCTACAACAATGTTACTTTATGCTCTTTTGTGTGTAACTGAAATTACAGCAGCATCGGCGTTAGGTAAGTGCTTTTGCCAGATATGTCTGTCTGCCTTACTAAGCTGAGGTGTGTGTGTTTTATATATTTATCTCGTGTGTGTGTGTGTGCTCAGTATTGCCAGGATCCGAGAACTGAAGCCGACTGCATTTCCAACATCAGGGAGTTTTTAAGAGGATGCTCGTCCTTGAAAGTGGAAGTAAGTTGCGATTTATTATTTGTGAAGTTTCATGTACAAACTTTGAAAAATTTGACCTCTCTTTCATTATCTGCTACTTAGCCCACTGCAGTTTACATAAACTTAAACACACTTGCTTTTGTTTTGATCTGCTTACTCTGCTGGCATACAGTTTTCTCATACGTCCATGCTGTCAGTCAGGAAGTGAACTATAAGCCCTTGTGACAAGTGCCTCCGTTTTCAAATGGTCGCAACTTAGTTTTCAACAGTATTTACTTCCTTTTAAATTCCCTTTCTCTTTTTGTGCTGCCGTGATGTTGACATTTGTATGTTGCTGCAAGTTATTAAAAAAATCCCCATGATATACACTGCAGGCCTATATTGCCAAGAAGGTGTCCTAATATTTGAAAGGGCCAACTCATTTGCAGATGTTGGGAGTTTTCTCTGTCTCTGCAACAGCTTGTTTGTGACTGCCACACTGGACAGTAATTTCTCCTCTGGCTTTATAAATAGTCTTTTCTGGTCGTGAATCACATTGGTTGGTGTCTTTAAACAGCTAATTGAGTCAGCAAGCCTGGCTCACTGCAAAGTCAAGTGGTTCTATAGTTCTGCCCAGCTGGCTTGTTATGTCTGGGAGGTCCCCTTTGCTTTTATCCACCAACTCTGCCATAGCCCGTAATTAGACCTTTTGCGGCCAGCCAGTAGCTCATGGCCAGAAGTTTTTGGAGAGCCACTGTCAAATGTATCAGCCAGGGGATGTCTGTGCCACCACAGCCAGCCCTACCCATTCTTCGGTCAGTGGTATGATTATAATTATAGAAATTTTTCTCTCTCTCTCTTTTTTGCCATTGCAAATAGTGCCCGTTTGTCCTGTGACTGCACAAAGATAGGAGTCATACTGCTTTCACTTCTGCTCCGATATGCAGAAAGAGGAAGTGCCAATTACTGCTCAAAGCCTCTGATTTTTTTTGCTGTGCATGCGATGATTTGCTCAGATTGTATACACTTCTAGAGTAACATGCATTCGTAACATGACTCAATAAAACTCCTAACCATGGTGAAGATGTCAGTACTGACTGATCAAGGTCAATACTGTGATGTAACATCTAATTGCTGCTTCATTTTGTTTTATCAATGCAAGTGTTTTTTTCTGGCTTTTAAAAACAGTGGTACAAAATCATCATGTATAAATCTAACATCATCCATCGTCAACCGCTTATGTACAGGGTCACGGGGGGCTGCTGACATTGGGCGAAAGGCGGGGTACACCCTGGACAGGTCGCCAATCCATCGCAGGGCCACACATAGAAGACCGCTCACACCCACACATAGACAACCGCTCACACCCACATTCACACCTAAGGACAATTTAGAGACACCAATTCACCTAGCCTAGTCTTTGGATGGTGGGAGGAAGCCGGAGCACCCGGAGAGAACCCACGCGGACACGGGGATAACATGCAAACTCCACACAGAAAGGCCGGGGCAACCGGGGTTTGAACCCACAACCTTCTTGCTGTGAGGTGACAGTACTAACCACTGCACCACCGCGCTGCCCATCTAACATCATGTTCTATCTATTTATTTTTTTTATTTTATTTTTTTTTACATGATTAAAAGCAACCTGCATAACTCTTGGTAGTCGTGTCAACCCTAACACCGACCTTTATACTTTGAAATCTAATGATCACACTTGCTTTAACTTGGAACGATGTTGTACACAACTCATGACCAAGGCTATACAACTCAAACGCTGTATTTAAGATGTTTTATTTAAAATGGAAACCTTATCCGCTGGAGGAAAGGAGATAGCTGTCTGAGACAGAGCAAGCAAGCAGTGTGACTGTGTTTGAGCATGCATCTGTGTGTGCGTGCAAGTGCGCAGCGAATCGCAAATGAGTCTGGCACTGTCATGTTTTATTACAAAGCAATGAAGAATATGGGTCACGCTTAACATGTCGGTTTTTATTTCTGTCCTCTTGTAGGCTTATTCAAATCCCTGTGTATGTTTCATTGTGTTTGTGTGTGTGTTACTATTGTTTGTGCTGCAGCCTAGAATGAGTGTCTCTCTCTGTCTGTGTGCATTTAACAAGCATCACTGCTCAGATCTGAGCTATCCGTTCTAATTTTGAATTATTCTTCTTCCACTTCTGATGGATTCCAGGTTTATATGAACAGATGGTTTTGGGGTTGTTGGTCTGATCTTTGACATCTTCTCTGTTCCTTTTCCATCCAGGGTTTTGAACCTGAGTGGTTATACACTGGCGAGAATTTTGGCAAGGTTCTGAACACTTTGCTGGCAGTCAACTTTGCCACACAAGGTAAGCGTTTTGCAGTCTCACTGTACCGCTCCTCCCCCATATCTGGCACTGCTTGATAAAATTTTGTCTTCTCTGAAAGTAAAGAATCAAATAGTAGTAAGTAGTAATATTACTTTTTAGATTACAGTACCCTGATGTAAAGAAAGCAAGAAAACATGAATTCAGTGAAAGTCTGTATGTTGCGCTTTACACTGCACAAACAGCTTCTTCTGTGTTCAACCATCCCATGTCACTTGACGATAATGAATTAACAGTATATGTGGTTACATATTCGAATGGCCTTTTCTCATGTATGTACTCTGATGGCAGTCCATGCAGCCATTCTAAATCATGATTTGGTATGTTACCAATGGGCAGCTGGCATGGCAGTGTGTGCTTGTTTCATGCTGGGTGCCATATTTACTCATGTGCAACCATAGCTTGATACACCCTGAACAATATCCTCTTTTGTTCGTTTTATGTCTTCTTCTTTTTTTTCTTCTGAGATTAAGCTCAGAATGAAGAAAAATGCATAATGTGACCCCGATCTCATGTGCATTTCTTCAGTAAGGACGTAGCATAAAATGGTTCGCAGTGCTGCAGCCCCACAGCAGTTTGGGGTAATTGCTTCACATGAGAGTCCTTGATTGGGGGCGAGGAAGAGGTAATACCAGTCTCCTTCGAGTTGTCAGCGCACAGCTGCCAGAGACCCAGCAGCCATAGAATTATTTAGTCAGTGTTTTTAGACTTCTGCCACCACTGCATGTTTTATAAGAAATGCATAATCATCCGGGCTATTTGAGAAAATGCGTTTGTGAAATTCCCGTATGTAAAATAATGGCAGTGCTGTGGCTAATTATTATTTTCATTATTTATTATATTTCTGATTAATTGAGTAGCCGGTAAATGTCAGAACAACATTAAAAACAATTACCTTCAGTTTGCCAGACTCTAACGTAATGTCTTCAAATTGCTTGTTTTGTCTGACTAATGGTACAAAACCCAGATATTCAGTTTACAATGATGCAAAAAGACAAATCCTCACATTTTATAAGCTAGTAGCATCATTAAAATAGTTGCAAATTAATTGTCTTTCATTTGACCCATCAGTTAATTGGCTAGTTGTTTCAACCCTACATGACATTGCTTTCCTTTGGGGATCTGTTACACTTGTTATGACTTTGTTAATGCATGATCAGTCTCTTGAGTGCACTTAAATGAAGGGGAGGACGTGTGCCACAGTATGAAATGTGGACCAGAAACCTCCGTCAGTGCTGGGCTCTGCTTGATATGCAAATCTTTTATAGGCTGGCTATGCCCAGCAGCTGTTCTCCCATCTTCAAAAGTGAGCTTGATTTGAAGTGGATTAGTCACAAGTTAGTTGATAGGATCAGACATAAGAGGCCTCTGTGTTTTTACTCGTGATCTTCTTCCAAGCCTAGCTTTGCTTTTGTCTTGTGCGTTTCTGTGCTCAATATTTGTATTTGTTTAGGGTAAATGCTTTTGAACGTTGCCTGCATGCAAAACTAACAGTGGAAACCACAGAGCTTATCTGACAGAAGGGCCTGTTAGGCTTCTCTGTGTGTGTTGCAAGTGACATGTGGGATCCATGAGCCCCACCTGCGGTACATGTGGACTGTCCCACTGCCTTCAGTGTCCTTCATCATATCAGTTAGGCCTCCCTGACCTCGCAGCATATTGAAAACGGTACAGGATCTCTCGCCTTTTTCCATCTTAACATTAGGCCTACATCTGATCTGCTGAAACAAGATTACACGAAAAGTGTTACCATAGCACATTTTACTGCTTTTAAGTTAAAGTGCAACAATGCATTTGTCAGTTTTTTAGTCTCCCAGTTAGTGCTGCAGTAATTAATGGATTAGTTTTCAACTGAATTAATTATCAACTTTTTTGATATTTTTTTAAGAAAAGTCAAAATTCTCTGATTCGAGCATCTTAAATGTGAATATTTGTTTGTTTTCTTTGTTTCTCTGAACTGAATATTTTTTTGGTTGTGGACAAAACAAGACATCTGAGGACGTCCTCTTGGGCTTTGGGAAACACATTTTTACATTTTTAACCATTCCACCAACATTTTATAGACCAAAAAACCTAATCCAGAAAATAATGGTCCGATTAATCAACACCAAATAGATGGTTAGTTGTAGCCCTACTCTTGGTTGAACGTCTTATTGGGTCTGAATAAGAGGTCACTAGGACTAATGGTGCACTCTTATTCCCTTTGTAATTTTCAAAGGATTGGACAGTGGGCTGGGCTAGTGTCCAGTTGGCATTTGATAGGGCTTCAGTTAGTGTGTTTCTGCCTGTCAGCCCGTAAGAGGTTGCAGGGCTGCAGTGTGTCACTTTCCAGGCGAGTACTGGCAACAAAATTGATACATCCATCGGTGCATCTCAAGGACTGCACTCACACTGCAGAACAGCTGGCAGCTACTGACCCTAAATCACTGTTCGTCTGCTGCAGTGGCTCAGTGATGACACAACAAGGATTGCGTGTTGGTAACATAAATTAGATTCATTTTCAAATAAGGTACAGGGCTGGGGGATTTGTTGTTAAATGTGTGTAAATCAATCATAATGAATGAATTTGCTTGACAAGCAAACAGTGTGTAAGTGACACTGATAACTGAGACATTTATATTGTAATAAAATATAATTTTTTTTTTTTTTTAAATATAAAGACTGCATGTTGCCTTACTTTTTACAGCTGCATAACCTTATTCCAGTGCAGTGTGGCACTTTTGGTTAAATCAGATTATTCTAACAGTGTGCACCTGCAGCAACTGTGGTGTGTGTGTGTGTGTGTGTGTGTGTGTGTGTGTGAAGTTATGTTCTTCACCTGATAACAACAAGACCAGGGAGTCATACGTTCAGACATCAATCTGACCAAAATAAAATAGGCTCCATATTTCCTGTGTGTGTCCATAGACTGTGCTGCTGAGAGGTCATGTCCGCAGTCTGGTGCTACCTCTCCTAGTCAGTCGACATCTTCACACACACTTTCCTCTGCCAAATCCAAAGGCTCTCTGCGTCGACAATCCAAATCAGTGGTATGGTCTCTCTATATAAATATCTGCATTTCCTGTCTTCTTGTCTACTCACTTCCCGTTCGTGAAACTGGCTCAACCCAGTTTGATTTTGCACATTTTATACATGGAATTTGTCAGTTCATTTGGTAGTTGTTTACTCCTGTTGACACATTGCATTCCCTGTGAATATGTAAATAAACCTCTCTAACAGGAGATGTCTGAGAACGGTGGAGGTGGGCAGCAGATGGTGAAGGCCCGCTTCAACTTCAAGCAGAACAATGAGGATGAGCTGTCATTCAATAAAGGTGACCTGATCCTTGTGACGCGGCAGGAGGAGGGAGGATGGTGGGAGGGCAGTCTCAACGGCAAGACAGGCTGGTTCCCCAGCAACTACGTCAGGGAGATCAAACCCTGCGGTGAGTTTGGGCCACACAGTCAAGGTCATTAATTCCTGAGTTTGATGGTGCAAACAATTTCAAAAATACTTTATTACAAACATTTTGTACGATATACAAAATATGCATTTTGCTCAACTTATTTTGGAAGTGTAATGATGGTGCTATAGTAAGTATTATAAAGTTGTGATGAAAAACATGAGATTTTTGATATTACTTGTGTTCAAACACTTGAATAACATGATTTGCAAGAGAGAATATGAGACGGAAGTGCAATGACTTGACCAGCTGTGCATTGTAACTTGTGTAGGTCACAAAAGAGGTCATCTGAAATTTTCCTAAAAGTAAAACTTTTTTCCACACTTGGATTGTTTAAACCGCCAAACTGAATTCTATGAAGGTTATTATGAATGGATATGCAGTATAAATTATTGTTAAATCTTTCTTTAATCTGTGCTGCTTATCTCCTCTACAGAGAAGCCAGTGTCTCCTAAAGGAACTCCGCTGACCAAGAACTACTACAGTGTGGTGAGTCAGAATTATTTGACATGTAAAAATCTATATTCTGTCAGTTCACTTATACAAATACTGTGACTTCATGACCCAAGTCTAAGTCCTCATGTGTGTACACAACAGTTTATTGGAGTTTGTTAAAATGTGTTTTCTTTCTATTGATAAATATTGGTTGTCAGGTCATACAGCTTACATCTGGGAAGTGATGGATTTCTAGACTGACGGCATTTTTTTTTTTTTATTACTCAAAAGGTGCTTTTGTTACTCATCAATCGTCTAAAATACTTAGGGATCTGTGTGCCTGTCATATTAGAGTGTTCTTGTTTTTAACTCACTGTAACTAACTTCTCCATTTCAAATCACCGTCTATCAACACTACGGTACTTTGTTTTCTCACTTTTAAGAGAATTTTTTTTTTCTCCAGATTAATTACCAATTTTATCTGAAAACAGAGATTTGCTTGAATCTGGCAACATGAAGTATTTTGCCGATTGTGCTGCTTTTGCAGGTTGTGCAAGATATCTTGGAACATGAGCGGGAGTTTGTCAAAGAATTGCAAGCAGTGCTGAGCTGTTATCTACGGCCCTTGCAAGCCAGTGACAAGTAAGCAAAATGACAAGGAGATGTGACAAAAGGCAATGTAGATTACCGGGGAAATCTTTTGGTTAACATATGAAATTAATGTTTTTAGAAACAATATTGTTGAATTTACTGAACTTGTAATAGATGATGATATTGTACTTTCATGTTTAACTGTCTTACATTGTACATGTTGCAGGACAGTTGTTATCTTCTCTGCTTATGCTAAATATGTGTATGTATATTCAGGCTGAGCAGTGCAGACAGCTCCACCCTGTGTGGAAACCTGGAGGAGATCCTTACCTTCCAGCAGGGACTATGTGTGGCTTTGGACGACTGCACAAAGTAAGTCATGCTGGACACAGACTTCTATGAAAACCTTTGTAGTTTGATCAGTTATACAATATTTAACTTCTATTATAACAATCTCAGTGCAGAGCAATGTTTGGACCAGAATGTACACCCTCTTGTACTTGTTCTGTAAGACATAATCAAATGCCTTTAGAAGAGCATTCTAGTTTTCACTCATGTGCTCCAGGTCATTTACTACACTGCACACATACTATACATTACTGCTAAGTGTTCCGCAAAACATACCACACTTCACTATATTTTTGCAATCACTTCCTTCCTCCCAGACACCTCTTCTTCTTCATCGTACAAATATCAACTTGCAAAGAGTGAAACATTTTTTTTAAATGGGTAATCCATCATAGTGGCCAGGCAGACCAATAAAATTTTCTCAAAGTTACTATCTTTACACACATTGATTTGAAATATCTGCGGGGAAACTCTGACATCCAAAACCACTGGAAAGAAATGGCTGCGTCTGGGGTAGGAAAATACACTCATATCTTAGAATGTACGTCATGCTTTGGGACATATCCAGTAGTGACTTAAAGTGTGTTCTGTCTAAAAATAGCCCTTAAAATATTGTAAACTTTATAATTTGCGGTTGAGGCCTTAAAACAATGTGTATCTGTCTCAAATTCAGTTGAGGAAATCTTAAGATATTATGGTTTTGTGATGCTTTTGTTAATCTTATGAGTAGTCTTCTACCAGTAAACAAGGACCAATTAGTAAAACTGTATTTGACAGGATAAAACTTACAGATGCCTCAAATAATTACAGTTTTGCAGTTTTTTGGGAAATGAAATATCTCTTTGTCTCTTTCCAGATCTCTTCTTTACCCAACCCTTTTGTTCTTCCTTCACCTCTCTAACCATCACTCTGTCTCCCTGACTTTGCAGAGTCCCAGAGGTCCAGCAGCGGGTGGCGGGCTGCTATTTAAACCTGATGTGTCAGATCAAGACTCTGTACCTGGCTTACTGTTCCAGCCACCCTTCAGCTGTCTGCATCCTCACTGACCACAGGTCAGCCCACTGCACACACAACAACATACCACTACCATACACTACTACAACAAAGTAAAGTCTGATTTTAAATCATGAAGGTATTTTGAGAATTGGGACGAATAGTGCAAATTTATAGGCCAGCCGTCACGTGGCAACCATTTCATTTCGCCTAAATTTCAGGTTCGCATTTTCTGTCTTTTGATGGACTTTGATGTGACTAATGGTGGTAGACTCACTCAGCTGATAAACGTTACAAGTTTGTCTCGGTTAACAAGGTTTTTCCGAAACAAACGGCATCCTTCAAAATTATAATAAAAACCAGTGGCTCTCAAACTGGTGTTGTGATACCAATAAGGGCTCAAAAGATGAATAGAAGGGTCATGAGATGATTTACTGGGTAAAATATTATATTACACACATTATCTTTTCAAACTGATTGTACCTTAGTCTTTTTCTTGTGAAATACAAAGTAGTTTTGCCTTTTCAGGCTCCTAAAAATTATTCAAATGAAACAGGAATATCCCTATTTGGTTTGGACATATGCACCCCCTAATGTAATGGTGGGGCGTGGATGTTAAGCAGACCTACAGTCACATGATTATGATTTATGTGGGGACATCAACACACACAAGTGCTCTGATACTAGCATGCCTATTTTTTGCTAACCTGAATCTTTTGTTTATCTAAAGTGGGACATGACGGAAAACTTTCGAGAACCACTCCTGTAATGTGTTGAGGGGTCAAAGGCAAAACCACCATCAATAGGGAACCATGCATGTAACCAACCTCACTGCCCTCAGACATTGCTTACTTGCTTACACAGAGGTGGAAAGAGTACAAAAATATTCTACTTAAAGTAAAAGTATGATTACTTTGATGAACTTTTACTTAAGTACAAGTAAAGTTACTTTTATAAAATTCTACTCAAGTAAAAGTAAAAAGTAGCTCATTTAAAAGTTCCTCAGTTAAAGTTATTTAGTTACTTTTTAAACCTCCTTAAATAACTTATTTATATTGATTTAATATCTTATTTATACATATTCAATTAAATTGCAGTCTTTTGCGATTTGATAAGGGAACAAAGCCATATGGCGCTTTCACTTGTAGTTAGTTTGACAGATACTTTGTCAAATCAATGGCGAAAAACAATGACATTTAATGTTATAATGAGAAGTCTGAGAATGTTTTCGCTTCATTAGGAAACTGTGGTGGGAACAGCTTAAACTCTGGCGGAAAAACGGGAAACACTAGACTGTATATGAAGTCATATCCCTATTTACAACAGGTGGTCATTTTAATGGGATATCATAAACGTTAGTATAATAAATAAATAGTTAACAGCGGGTTACTAATGCCAACTAACATTGTCATGCAACGCTGTCTTTTTGGCTATTTGGAGCAAAGCATCTTACCAAACTATGAAAACTTACTTTTAACCACCGATGGAAGTAGCCTATTATTTAACTGACCTCTACATCAGGGGTCCTCAACTACATTTGTTCTAAGCAGACACTATGGGGGCTGGACTTTCAATTGCCATATTACTGTTTAATATTTTCAACTTTTGTCAAATGAACCTTTTTATTAGCTTATATCAGTGTGAACAGACTCCTTAAAAACATGGTAGGCCTAAATCCATAATGATGAATCTACATAGGCTACTATATAGGCATACTTAACTAGAAAATGAACAGAAGTCTGGGGCAGCTAAACAAAATATTGTCGGGCAGTTATTGGTATTTTCCAAATATGAGCGGTCATGACTTTATGCTGCACACAACATGAGTCCGCGAACAGCGAAAGTGAAAGGAGTTGGTTACTTGGCTGAGAAGGTGGAGGTGTGCAGCCTGTCGCCTGCAGCTCTTTATCTAACAACTAATTACTCGCTGCAATATTTCAAACTGGTCCGCTGTCTAAGAAACTGGTGAAAGTGACGTCTGTCTTGTCGTGTAGCCGCATTGTGTAGCTGTCTACACGACAGCGGTCAGCGCCCATCTCACTTACAAACAGATTGCATTTCCTGTGACTATTTCAAAATAAAAGTCAACATGTGTTTCGCCAGTTAAATGCTTTTAATGTGAAGTTAAAGCAGCAGGAAATGTTCAGTTTGCATTAGGAGTAACTCAATACAGCATTTTTCACAGTTTACAGTGCATCATGAAAAGATGCGTTTCTCTTGCACTTCAAGCCAAAGTATTCGCGAGTTTTTCCTTGCACTTTTTGTCTCAGTAACGGATATGATTGTAAATACAGCGAAGTACAATACTTTAAACAAAACATAAAAAGTAAAATTTCAGATTTAAAAAACTATTTCAAAAAGTACATGTACACAAAAAAGCTACGCAATTACAGTAACGTGAGTAATTGTAATTCGTTACTTTCCACCTCTGTGCTTACATCTCTTTCACAGTAATTTGTTTCATGTATTTGAAAAAAGTTGCACTTGGGTCATTGCTGTGTGAATTCTGGAACTACTGCACTGCATGCCGTTTTCCTTGATGAGCGGTAATTTAGCATTGAACCACAAGGTGTCAGGCTTCCCATCTGGATATGACCTATAGACTAAATGGAGTTTAAGCAGTTACACAATTCGGTGTGCTGAAAGAGTCCTTCAATCCAGTAACTATTCAAACGCATCATTCTCATTGAGTGGGGTCTGCTGTTAGGAATTTGTATTGCATTGATCAGAGTCACTGAAATAGCAAAATGGCCATGGTGCTATTTGAATGATAGAACCTGACACTTCTACACTACTCAGGATTGTAAGTTGTGAACTGTAGATTAGCTGAATTACACACAGGAAGCTGACTGTTGACAGGATATATGAAGTTGTGGTTATGTTGACAGCCGAGACAGTTTTTCACAGTAAGCACATTTACATTTTCAGTTGCAGAAGCCTATTTGTGACATGTACCCACTCAGTGTTGCTACAGGATATTGTATGATACAAGTTTTTGATCATGGAAACTCATGAATGGCGTTGCTTTCAGAGCATGTTCTCAGGTTTGCAGTAAAGTAAACATGTGTGCAAAAAAAAGTGCAAAAAATTTGCTGACTGAACTCATGCTACCTTTTTAAAGTTCAACACCCTCAAAGCTGCTTGTGGCCATTCTAACATGCAGCACTTGTGTGATATACTGTATGTTACACAGTGTGGTAGTGTTTTTTACAGCAATGACAAAGAAATGGAAACCTTGAAAAGGTGAGGCCCTCTTTTCCAGGCCTCATTAGAAAATGGGTTATTTTTAATATCATGGGCCTGCTGTTACAAAATCTGAATTCTAAAAATACAATATTAATACTTTTGCCAATGAAATGAATCTAATATGTAGCAACATGATGCCATACCCCATACCTGGAAGTAGTTATGTAGTCTAGTTTTGTTTGTGTGCTGCAGTCGTTTTTCCTGCTGTTTGAGCTACCTGCTGCTTTTCTGCTGTCAAAAGCCACACTGCAGCTCTGTCTGAAGTTTTAAAAAAGTGTAGTTGAGTCATCCTCTTTGATACAGATGGTACAAATAATCAGTGTACATTGTAATAAGGTCTCTTGCTATATTATGCACACTGATATTGATATTTTCTTGTATGACTGAGGCAGAGATGCTACCTTTTTGTTTACTGCAGACATTTGAGCTGTTCGGCTTTTTATTGGTTTGTGGCGATAGATATTGGTATGACTACACATGTTCATGTTGCTGCATGTGTGTTAAAACAGGTCACACAGTTCTTCATCTCAACTGTCTGTATAATTCTATCAAACTGAGAACTTTGAAAAGGCACAATTTGATCAAACATTCTATACTTATTTACTGCATTATTTAAACAATTATTTTTCATTTTTAAGGCATGTTTTCCACCTACACAGATGAGACATTGTTTAATAAATTAAATCCATAATATATAGCACATCTTAAAATTCACTGTATGGTAAAACCATTAGTGTATGCTAAATATGTGAATCCCAGCCCTACGGTGTGGTGCTCTGTACTCTGTAATGTTTCCCCATAGAAATAATGTATTTTAAAAAAAAAAAAAAAAACATTACACTTAACGGTGTATAAAAAGCGTTTGTGCGTGTTTTTAACAGTGAGGAACTAGACAAGTTCATGGAGAGCCAGGGATCCAGTGCTCCAGGAATCCTGACCCTGACCACCAGTCTCAGTAAGCCCTTCATGAGGCTGGACAAATACCCAACCCTGCTGCAAGAGCTGGAGAGACATGTGGAGGTACAGGAGAACGTAAACGTGTAATGTCTAAGCACCATTTAATATATTTCTTTAAAACACAAGATAGAAAAATGGAAAATACTCTAGAAATGTTGGATTAATGTCTGTATTGTATATTTTTAACCACAGTTTCTGTTCAGATTTTGTTAATTTGATTCACCTCAAGAGATTAATCTCTTTCGATCTCTGACGTCGTTTGTATATCATGGAATACCTGATGTATGTATACTTGTCTTGCTTTAACACTTATAGGACTGATGTGTTGTTTATTTACACTACAGGAAGCCCACCCAGACTATGCTGACATAGTAAAGGCAACAGCAGCATTTAGGAGCCTAGTGGTAAGTCTGGGACACTGAGGGGGCTCTGCACTAGCACCTTTTGTTAATCTCCACCAGGGATTAGGCTTCCTCTTTTTATCAGTACCAAAGAAGTTAAACAAGCTGTAAACCTGTCATTTCAGTTCTCAATTAATGGATTCTGCATCGAATGACACTGTTTTGTGTCAAAGGTTAAATTGTGGAAGTAAAATTGCTTTTTCAATGTATGCTATTCTCCTGAATGTTTTGGTTTATCACAATCTCCAATGTTAATTAACTGACTAAACCACTGGGCAATCAGTCTCGTGTGGGTTATTTTTTAACTATTTGTTTTTATGATGTCACATTTGTTGTCACTTGGGCTACACACAAGTGACTATAACGTTAACATAGTACTTTGTAATCAAACACTCAAGCAAGTGCCTGAGCTTTTCCCCTGCTACATGTTGAGTGATCACATCGTTCCTACAGTGGGTGTGAACCTAAATGCCATCTTAAGAGTTGGTTAAGAAACGAGCAACCGCATTGTACCTGTTGAAGATCACTCTGAGACACAATTTCCCCTGGTATATCTGCAAGTTCCTTGTAAGAAAAGATGAGGTGACTCACACGTGTCTCTTCAGCAGGGCTACACAGGAAAGCGGGAAAAAAAGCATCACACAATACTGACTATTTTAAATTGCAAGTCTCATTTGTGTGTTTTGAATGTGTGGTTGGGTGGGCAGGCACTTAAGAAATGCTAGTTGCATATCTTCAGAGCTCTGTCTACAGAACCCCTTTCTTGCATAATCTGCAGTGGAAAATGGCAGATGTTGCATTGTCATTTTTCCTGTTTGAAGAGGGAGAACCCCTGCCTAGCACCTGAAACTGTTCTACTTTATGTTGCAGGTTACTCCATAAAAATAAACTGGTTACATTTTCCAAAACCATATCCATAGTGGAAAAACATTTCCCTGCTGCTCATTACTCAGTATTTCTAAAAGCAAGAAAACAACAAAATGTCATACTTACTTTCACCAATAAACAAGCACTAATTTCGTAAGAGTAGGTGTCACATATTTGATGTTGTGGAATTTGCACTGAAACATAAAAATAAAAATAGCAGAGTTATTTCTAAATCTATTCAAGGAAGCCCTGCGTATCTCACTGTTTCATTGAATTATGAAATGTTTTGTCATCTTCACTGACTGATATAAATATTTTTGCGATTAGGCACAATGCCAGGATCTGCGGAAGCGCAAGAACCTGGAGATCCAGATCTTGTCAGAACCAGTGCGGGCCTGGGAGGGAGACAGCATGAAGAGCTTGGGTCACGTGGCCTACATGTCCCAGGTCCATGTGAAAAATGGGTCCAGTGAGGTGAGAGACATGTCGGCTTTGACACAGTCCAGGATGACCACAACTAAAATCAATTGTCATTTTTTCCCCCATCTAATTGTTGGGATTTGGCTGTTTAGACAAAACTGTAGATAAGAGTCCCCCTGGGTTCCATTCAGTCAAAGACGATAGAAAAGCATCGTAAAATGGAAACTGTCAAAGGATTGATTGATTAATTAATTCAAACAATTTGACTGATTTTATTAGACATTCATTTTAAAAACACTGGCTCACCAGGGTTGTGAGTGTTTGCATAAAAGGAAAAGTCAGGATACCACAATAAAGCCCTAATGCTTATTTCTATTGTGGTCCTTTTGAGGATGGGGGGTATGCAATTGAGGGGTCAAGAGGGCAGATTTGACATGGCAAGAATGACACAAAAAACATTAATAAAAAATAATGATAAAACACATTGCAATCATCAGCAGTGCCCACTCTGCATGATCACTGTATAAACAACAACAATCTCTACCTCAGTGCTTCATTTTCAAAGTCTGGCCCTACTCTACCCTTCATCAGAAATGGATACATAAGTAGATCAACATTAATTCACAGCCCTCACTGCAGATTATATACAAATCTGAGCCTGTACATAATAATTCAAATAAATAGTACAAAACCAAGAAAACTATTATCAGATATAACTATATCGGATATCCTACTTGGAATAGCCTCTGAGCCAATTCTTAAGCAAAAAGTTGAAACTTCCCAAGCTGCCTATGATTTTAAGACTTCCTGGCAACCTATTTCACAGATTTAATGCCATGTACAGAAAAAGTTTTTTTCCCCAGGTTACTCTTAGACCTGGGAGGAACAAAGTCAATGGAACTAACCCTAGTGGAATGGCTATAAATATCCCCCACCTGTATGAAATCATTTTTCAATTACACAATTATATGTGCCATGCACGAGATGTCATAGGGAAATTTAGAATAACCCTAACTACCTTATTTTGAGAAGTCTGAAGTCTGTTTTTAAGGTGTGACGTTATGTTGTACTATGAACAGCAGGCATAGTCAAAATAAGGCTGAACAAGTGCTCCTCCTGCCAGGGTCGCCATTGATTGACTGACCTTGGAATTAAGCACAAAATTTACTCTTAGTATCCAGAGAAGACGAACGTCAGTTTGCTACTATTTGCTATATATTTGTATATTTGCTTCTTTCCCCATCTCTAAAATAATTTGGAAAGGTTTAACAGTAGTTATTCCTTGTACCATTAAAATGATCATATCCATTTCTCAATGAATGGACAGTAAATTTTAAAAAATTATTTTCATCAGATTTAGCCCGCTATCCAGACAGCTGCATTTATCTTTGTTAGTTCAAGAAATATGCATTAAATGTTATGTTCTTTTCTTTCATCTCCATCAGCTAATCTCTTCACAGCCTGCATGTTTTATATGTGGTATTTATATGTCTCATTCTGTGCTAGATTGAAAATGCATGTTGTGTTTGATGTAGGTAAGCAGATGGAGGTGTAAACGGTACCTTGAGTATGAAGTGCTCTAGATTTCTTTGACTAATGCAACATCTCACCATTACAAGTTAAGGGCACTGACAGTAAATTAAATTCCAAAACCCCGCATTTTGATCATTATTTAAAAGAAATGTGAAGCATTTATCTTTTCCTAAATGTGTTACAGGATTTCCCAGTTTCCATGAACCGCTTGTGCTAAAATCCGTACTTATTTTTTTTCAAATTCAGTATCGCCCTCAAGTGTCAAAACAGAAACCTATGTAGGCCAAACCCTGCAGAAAAGCCATCTCCTCTTACTTGTGTGGTTTCTGTGTAGGGGTCGACTTTGAGTCAGTGGTTGGAAGAAAGCCCGGTATAGACACTTGGATTCACCCTCCTTTAATCAATACCAACCACTTTCCAACCACCATCTCAGTCACCATATTTGTTTTGCGACCTAGCCTTGTCAGCTCATCTTGTTTTCCATTAATGCACCAACAACTTTGCCAAACTAAAGTCTAGTTACCAAAATATGCTAATGTTGGCTATGTGTGTGACATAAACCGGCCCACAACAGCATAATGAACAGGTTCAGCTGCAGCCACCTTCCATTCAGTTGCAGATAAGAAACCAATAGCTATCGGTGAAAATCTTTTTGTAACCAGCAAACCTGTTGCAGTACATGTATGCATAAACTAATAGGTCATATTGCAACCAAATCTTTTTTGTCTCTCTCTTGCAGGAAAAAGAGGAGCGCTATCTAATGCTGTTCCCAAATGTGTTGGTTATGCTCTCCGCCAGCCCCCGGATGAGTGGTTTTATTTATCAGGTGAGGTATCACCGTACTGTGAACCTTCCTTCCTGTATCAGTTTTCATTTTTATGGGCAAATAATTCACATCCTTAATTTCAGGTGATAACAAGATATACCACGTATGATATGGTGACTTATTTCCTCTCCTTTTGTTTGTTCCATTCAGGGAAGACTGGCACTGACAGGCACCACAGTAACAAGACATGCAGAGGATGCAGACAATGCCCACTATGCCTTTGACATCACAGGTTTGCATCTGAAGCTCTGGAGACAATTATAATTCTTTATGATACAGCAGTAATACATTATCGTGAGTTGTAACAGGCTGTAACCCAAAGCTGAATCCAAGGTAAAGCGTTAGCTCATTGAACAGCTATGGGAGAGTGTCTTCAAAACTTTTAATTAGTTGTCAAGGTAGCTCTTCTACCTCCAAAATATACATGCTTGTGTCTGTACATAGCTTATAAAAGGTTATAAAAGGATATTAAACTTGCCTTACCATTTGGTACACACACAAATTTAGAAAAATTAAGATAAGGGATCAGATAACCCAATAAACATGAAGCCTTAAATCATTAACCTCAACATTCACTGGAAGAAATTAGTCACAGCCAAGCCAGTCACATCAAAACATGTTGCTTCACATGCCCTATGCCTTTTTTTATCCATGACAACATGTTTGACAGTGCTAACTTCATATTTATTCATGTACTTGTTACTGCCACACGGCATGAATTGCTACATTTTGGGGAAAATCTAAACTAGACCCAGACAAACGTCCTGAATTGTCTGTTGTACGTGTGGTTCTGGCATGCATTTGTAACTTTCACTTGTGTGTGTGTGTGTGTGTGTGTGTGTGTGTGTGTGTGTTGCAGGAAGCATGATCGATCGTATTACAGTGTTCTGCAGCAGTGCCCAGGAGTTACAGGAGTGGCTAGAGCACCTTCAGCCCTTTACCAAAGGAGGCAGCCCTGCAAGCACCATTTCAAAGGTTAGGACACACAGTCACACAAATACAGTTTAAAGTCAAATCAATACCAAAAGTGAACCTTGCACCATGCTAAAGTGTGAAAACCCCTTAGGTACAAAACCTTAGACTCATCTTTCATTGCACGTATACTTCTCACAGACTTGCTTGTCTTCTCTCCTTTGACCCTCCCATGTAGACTGTAGAAGGCAAGCCACTGAGCATGGTCGGTACTCCAACTCACCTCTCGCACCTGGGCAGCATCAGTGCTGTTGGTCGCGGCCCCCTGGAGCCTCCGAAGATCAGCAAGCCCTGGTCTCTCAGCTGTCTGCGTCCTGCGCCCCCCCTCAAACCCTCTGCTGCACTGGGATACAAAGAGGTAGGAGGTTGTAGAGCTGCACAAACCTACACAAGCTTAATATGTATATTCTACAAGCAGTCATTCAGAACTTTTTTTTAGTCAGAAAACACAAGAAGTCCCCTTCCTCTACAAATCCCCCTCTGTCGCTTTTTTCTGTCTCTACTTTATTTAGACCTCCAGTGTCTTGTTTTACACAAAGTTTTCCACCCAACACCCAAATAAAACAAGTTAAATTGACAAACACACTGTTAATCCATTTACTGGACAAATATTGTTATGTTTTTTTTGCTGGTCTTATCTGGATATTGCATTTTTTGAAACATCACAATTATCTACCCAGTCGTAATCTGTTGCTAATCTATAGATTAGTACTTTACACAATGCACGGGCCAGCAGATAAAGTACATGGTGACTGTGAAAAGCAGCAGCAAATATCATTATAACATAATTAATTATGCAGTAATTAAAAGGATATATTTAAAACTACTGCAAAAGTATCTGAAACATGGCAGGGTATGATTATGCCTGTTGAAGTTAATTCCAGTAACGGCAGTATGATCACCAGGTTTGACTGGAATTAGAGAAAGTTATGTGCATTAGTGGTAACGAGACACACGTCTTTTGATGAGTGAGATGATGTTCACTCACTGTTGTCCACGTGGGTGGCAATGCTTTCACAGTTGTCAGTCAGCACTTTATAACTTTCAGTTATCATGGACGGTCTAGCGATGTGTTGTGAAAATATAACTACAGCTAACATGTGTCTAGGCACTAGTTTTGACATGTACTACTGCACAAACTCTATCTTCTACAGTTTGAATAGAACCAAGCAACCTTGTCTGGGTCTTTTGCTCTGCCCTGCAGAGATTGCATGCGTAGTCCTCTGAACGCATAACCACCTTTCTGCCAGTTTTTCCATATATCTTTCGTTTTTCTTTTTTTTCATGAAGTAATCATCCTATTCTGCATAGACAAAGAATAGGTGAGAGGGGGTGTAATATGTTCACCATTAACTCTCTATCACATCCTTCTCTCATCATATTTTTCATGCACATTTCCCCTTTTTCTCTCTTTCTCCATCCTGCCTTCTGTAGAGGATGTCTTATATCATGAAGGTAAGGTTAGAACCCACTCTGTTTCTATCTTTGTGTGTGTGGGTAAGGATGTGGGGTGGGATGGTGGGGGGTGCGGTTGCCTGTGTGTGTCTGTGTGTGTGCGCAAGCCCCAGTGTTGAGCTGGCATGCCATTGCTCTGTTTGCTTCACTCCTCCCTCATTGTCATCTGTTGGTTTCCTGTTTTCGGTGGCCCTGCGTATCTGCTAAGTTTTTATTGTCCCCCCCCCCCCCCCCCCCCATTCCCTATAAGAAGTCAAGGTGCCACTCACCATGTATGGTATCTGTTGTCTGTTAAAAAACCTTTCCCATGCAATAATTCTAATATCTAATTTCTGCTAGGGTTGCTATTTTTGGAAATCTAGACACAGAATGCAAAGTGCAGTCAAGTCTGCTGTCGTTCAGCCCTGAATGTACAGTGAGGAAAATAAGTATTTGAACACCCTGCTATTTTGCAAGTTCTCCCACTTAGAAATCATGGAGGGGTCTGAAATTGTCATCGTAGGTGCATGTCCACTGTGAGAGACATAATCTAAAAAAAAAAAATCCAGAAATCACAATGTATGACTTTTTAACTATTTATTTGTATGATACAGCTGCAAATAAGTATTTGAACACCTGAGAAAATCAATGTTAATATTTGGTACAGTAGCCTTTGTTGAGGTCAAACGTTTCATGTAGTTTTTCACCAGGTTTGCACACTGCAGGAGGGATTTTGGCCCACTCCTCCACACAGATCTTCTCTAGATCACTCAGGTTCCTGGGCTGTCGCTGAGAAACACGGAGTTTAAGCTCCCTCCAAAGATTCTCTATTGGGTTTAGGTCTGGAGACTGGCTAGGCCACGCCAGAACCTTGATATGCTTCTTACAGAGCCACTCCTTGGTTATCCTGGCTGTGTGCTTCGGGTCATTGTCATGTTGGAAGACCCAGCCTCGACCCATCTTTAATGCTCTAACTGAGGGAAGGAGGTTGTTCCCCAAAATCTTGCAATACATCGCCCAGGTCATCCTCTCCTTAATACAGTGCAGTCGCCCTGTCCCATGTGCAGAAAAACACCCCCAAAGCATGATGCTACCACCCCCATGCTTCACAGTAGGGATGGTGTTCTTGGGATGGTACTCATCATTCTTCTTCCTCCAAACACAGTTAGTGGAATTATGACCAAAAGTTCTATTTTGGTCTCATCTGACCACATGACTTTCTCCCATGACTCCTCTGGATCATCCAAATGGTCAATGGCAAACTGAAGACGAGCCTTGATATGTGCAGGTTTAAGCAGGGGAACCTTCCGTGCCATGCGTGATTTCAAACCATGACGTCTTAGTGTATTACCAACAGTAACCTTGGAAACGGTGGTCCCAGCTCTTTTCAGGTCATTGACCAGCTCCTCCCGTGTAGTTCTGGGCTGATTTCTCACCTTTCTTAGGATCATTGAGACACCACGAGGTGAGATCTTGCATGGAGCCCCAGTCCGAGGGAGATTAACAGTCATGTTTAGCTTCTTCCATTTTCTAATGATTGCTCCAACAGTGGACCGTTTTTCACCAAGCTGCTTGGCAATTTCCCCGTAGCCCTTTCCAGCCTTGTGGAGGTGTACAATTTTGTCTCTAGTGTCTTTGGACAGCTCTTTGGTCGTGGCCATGTTAGTAGTTGGATTCTTACTGATTGTATGGGGTGGACAGGTGTCTTTATGCAGCTAACGACCTCAAACAGGTGCATCTAATTTAGGATAATAAATGGAGTGGAGGTGGACATTTTGAAGGCAGACTAACAGGTCTTTGAGAGTCAGAATTCTAGCTGATAGACAGGTGTTCAAATACTTATTTGCAGCTGTATCATACAAATAAATAGTAAGAAAATCATACACTGTGATTTCTGGATTTTTGTTTTTTAGATTATGTCTCTCACAGTGGACATGCACCTACGATGACAATTTCAGACCCCTCCATGATTTCTAAGTGGGAGAACTTGCAAAATAGCAGGGTGTTCAAATACTTATTTTCCTCACTGTATTTGCATGTGTCACCTTTGAATAATCAGCAGCCCAAATATGCTGTCATAGATTAGTCATAAGTTGATTCCATGTCTCTGGAAAACTTGGTGGAACCTATGTTTTATAGTGTGTCTGTAATTTTCTTGTTAACTTCTTCTGACAAGTGGCCATAAAAATCAATTGTGCAGCTTTAAAGAGGTGTAAATATCACAGATCATATACTCACCAGCCACTTTATTAGGTAGACTTCTTCAATTGCTTGTTAACACAAATAGTTAATCAGCCAATCAAATGGCAGCAACTCAATGCATTTAGGCATGTAGATGTGGTCAAGACAAGTTGTTGAAGTTCAAACCGAACATCAGAATGGGCAAGAAAGGGGATTTAAGTGACTTTGAACGTGGCATGGTTGTTGGTGCCATGCGGGCTGTTCTGACTATTTCAAAAACTGCTGATCTACTGGGAATTTCTCGCACAACCATCTCTACCGCCCAAACTGAGACCAAGTCAAGACCAAGACCAGTTCTCTACGTTACATGACAATGAAATGTGGAACGAGATCATTGGTACTTTACAAATTGAACACAGATCTACATTCCTATTAAAACACCCACATACAAACACTAAGAGCTGAAATCAACTCTTTATTCAGCACTCCGTTTCCATGTTTACCATCCACTTAACACTAGGGCTGGGCAATATGGCCAAAAATGTTATCATGATAAAAAATGTCATATCATTCAATATCTATAATTAACTTGATAAATGTCAAATCATTATTTATTTCAAATTTAAACACAGATGGTAATTGTGGTTTTAAAGTTTTTTTTATGGTCAAAACAAACACTTGATGCCAAATAGTGGATCACTTCACAAATCTGAGGTAGAACATTCAAACTATTATGATAAAATGTGTTTAAAAAAATGCAAGAGTTAAATAAAATGTGTTTTCAGTCCCTTTTCCTCAACAAAATAAATATCTTAATAGAAAAATTAAGTGCTAATTCATTTGTGATTAAATCAAACGTTTACTAAACAGTTGGAGTGCGTGTGAAGGGGGCGGGAAGGGATGGCGGCCGCTAACGATAACAACACAGTTTTAGTTAGGGTTATTGGGGCCTTTGAAGCAATAAGTTTTACATCGAATCAAAGTTAGGATGTTAACAAATAAATCAGACAATGCAAAAGCAATTTATTGATATTCCAAAAGTTATGGTCTTGACTGGTCTTGAAATAAAATCCAGAGTCCTCTATGTTCGAGACCAAGACAAGACAAATGAGAACATCAAAAAGTGGTCTTGAGATCGGTCTCAAGACCACTTTTTGACTGGTCTCGAGTAGTACAACACTACAACCAAGGTATGCAGAATACCATCTGTGAACACACAACACGTCGAACCTTGACGCAGATGGGCTACAACAAGGGAACACCACACCAGGTCCCACTGCTGTCAGCTAAGAACAGGAAACTGAGGATACAATCACACAGGCTCACCAAAATTGGACAATAGAAGATTGGAAAACATTACCTGGTCTGATGAGTCTCGATTTCAGCTGCAACATTCAGATGGTAGGGTCAGAATTTGACGTAAACAACATGAAAGCATGGATCCATCCTGCTTTGTATAAACGGTTCAGGCTGGTGGAGTAATGGTGGGGGATATTTTCTTGGCACACTTTGGGCCCATAAATACCAATTAAGCATCATTTAAACGCAACAGCCTACCTGAGTGTTGCTGACCATGTCCATCTCTTTATGACACAATGTACCCATCTTCTGGTGGCTATAATGAACCATGTCACAAAGCTCAAATCATCTCAAACTGTTTTCTTGAAAATGACAATGAGTTCACTGTACTCCACAGTCACCAGATCTCAATGCAATAGAGCACCTTTAGGATGTGGTGGAACAGGAGATATGTATCATGGATGTGCAGCCGATAAATGTGTAGCAACTGCGTGATGCTATCTTGTCAATAAGGACCAAAGAATGTTTTCAACACCTTGATGAAAGTATGCCACGAAGAATTAAGGCAGTTCTGAAGGCAAAAGGGGGTCCAACCCAGTATTAGCGAGGTGGTCCTAATAAAGTGGCCAATGAGTGTATGTGCACTGTATATAATGTGCTATTGATGTACTCTAAGCAATAAAAAAAACAAAAAAACAATGAAGTGCAGCCCCAGAACACCAAACCAATGCGGAAAGAAACTCTGTACACCTAAGGAAAAATATGTTGTGCAAGGCGCCTGCATTAACATGAATCACCAAGCCCCTTCAAAGGTTCTAAGAGACATGATGTATTCAGTTATTTCTCTTGATATTTATGAGGGACTTTTAGGATTCTGTGAATGAGTTTCAGAACTGATTTGCTAACTCTTTATTCTATTCTAATGTGTATTTGACTAAACTTCTCCTTTTCCATCCAAGGCCATGGGGCAAATTACTTCATGTAAAGTATTATCACATTTATAAGCCCCAGGTTAGCACCACCTATCTGCATTGTTATATAAAAAGTTTAAACATGACTAAACTGTTATTTTTAGTAAGTTAATTATGCATCACACCTCAGCTTTTAATGTGCTGAGGAGAGGAAACAGTCATTTCGCCTGTTTTCAGATCCTAAACTCGACCCAGCTGCAAAAAAGAAAATCTGTCACTCATGAAACCACATCATTGTGGTTTAATAGACTGTTAAAATATGTGATGACATCTTAGCATGGCTTTGTAAACACTGTATCCCACAGGTTAAGATTGGATATTTGAAGCATTTTTGTTCTTCCCTGACAGTGATGATATATGTACCTTGAAAAAAAATTTGAAGTAATTGTTATTAGATATGATTAGATTTTTGGTTTTCTTAGTTTTTTTTTTTTTGTATAGCCCTGTTAGGCAGGATTCATATCAGCACAGATGGATTACCTGGCTGATTTGGTCACAGTCATCATCGCATGCTTGCTGCCTTGTTTGTTGATGGAACTTCATTCTTGGATGTTGTTTGTTCAAGGGATGCGCGTCCTTGTAAGCTTGCATTATGTTTGATTTTGAGCCTTGGCTTTACAGGTGTGTGTGGGGGGGTGTAGGTGTGTGTGTAGAGATGTATTGAATTTAATATTGAACTCCTCCAGGACTCCAGCAAGAGCCCGCGGCCCATAAAGAAGTTCCTGCCAGGCAATAGGAAGAAAGAGCGGAAGCCCTCTGATGACGAGGTTCAAACGAGGAAAAGTATGGCTTTTATCTTATTATAATAGGGCATGTATGCTAGGCATGAACGATTCCTTAATATGGGTTTATATTACTTTATAAATACCATTCAATACCATTTCCTTTGTATATTTGTTTTAAAGCTGTTGTTGGTTAAGATAATAGAAAATAGGGTAATGAAGATTTGATATTGAAGGTAAATATATGAAATATGGGGTTTGAGCAGTAAAATTCAGATGTACAGTTATAAGATATTGTGGGAATTATCTTGATCATTGTAACAAAAGTAAGCGTGTCCTCTATTGAGGAAAATAATGGTCTAGATCTGAGGCCTCTGCAGACCATGAATAAATGTAGAAGTGTGGACCTTGCAAGACCCCCTCAAATTTAATTGTATAATCATTGCATCAATGCATTGTGTGGAACTCATTATCTGTATATATTTGTTCTTGATGATTGTGTTCAGTGCCTTCCCGATGTCATCTAAGTGAAAAGTGTTTACTTGACGTCCTTAATGGTTTTGACAGGCACAGCTGCTCTGGAGGAGGATGCTCAGATATTGAGGGTGATTGAGGCGTACTGCACAGGAGCCAGCCTGCACCAGACCACCGCAGGTGTTCGTTTGTGTAAGGGCCATGGACTTATTGTTTCTTTAATAGCTTCTTAGATTGTACATCTTCAAAAGCTGATATAGCCATGAATCAAGCTTTCCCATTAATTTATGTGTGCCTGTGTACGCATATTTGCAGCGGTACGGAAGGAGTGCGTCCCTCAGGTGCTTCTGCCAGAGGAGGAGAAGATCATTGTGGAGGAGATGAAGAGCAATGGGCAGACAGTTATTGAGGAAAAGTATGCCTATTATTACTTTGGAAAATAGGCTTTCATTTACTCGTTGCACCAACAGGGACAGCCCAGGCTTTATCCATTATTTGGATTTGGATTCTGCTCTTCTCTGTAATTAGATTCAGAAATGTGATATTGATCCTATTTAGACATGAATCTTTATCCAGAATGACCTTGAGTTTGGTCGGCAGTATAAGCTTGATGTTGATTTACCTGCTTATTTAATGAGTGGCTGTTTGAAAAGGAAGAAATAAATGTTGATATTGTCTAGCAAAACTATATTTTCTTTCAGGAGCCTGGTGGATGCTGTGTATGCTTTAAAGGATGAGGTTCATGAATTAAAAAAGGTAAGTGTGAGTACATAGTATGTGTGGAGACATGTGTCAGAAGTCTAGCCCTGTATCCTACTTATTTGCATGGCATGTTAAGGTGCTCATTGAGTTGTACTGACATTAGCTCCCCTCCAAACTTTGAGTTTTTGGATAGAACCAGATGTGAGCGGCGTATAGATTAATTTGTTCGTTTTGTTCATCGTTGTTGTTTCAGTGATATTGTTGTGTTTTTTCCAAAGATGGGGCCTTTCCAATGATGTATTTTGTGCTGAATATATAAAGCTCCACATATATTTAAAGAAACTTTTCCTAACTTTGCTGTAATTTCCTCAAAGCCCATAAATATGTCTTCTTCTATATAAATCATAAACCTTTTCATTCCCTTTCTTTGATCATTTATAAAAACCTACATCAGACGTGCCCGGTTTGAAGGGCACCATGTTATCTATATTCATGTATTTCTTTACTTCATACAATACCTTTTTATCATGTTTACATAATATAAAAAAATTACATTCCAACAACACACACTTAACACTAACAGTAAATTCATTATAATGGTTCAAAGAGAAAACTTAAAACGTATTCAAAATAAAAACTATAAATAAAAGCACATATTGAAATATACATAAAAATGGCACCAATAAAACACACATTACATCATCTACTCCTCTGCAATTTCTTTTGCATATCTACCAACATAGATACTGTCATATCCTATCAGCCAATAATACTGGCTTTCTGACGTATTTGTTAGTCTCATTTGTATGTCATTTGAGTTTTAGCAACCTGTTAAATAGTGTTATTTCCCATATGTTTTACAGGAGAACAAGTGGATGAAGCAGTTTATGGAGGAGGAGCAGAAGTCTCGCAAAGAGCTGGAGAGAATGGTTCGAAAACTGGCCAAGCAGAAGAATGATTGTGCTTGGGATGATATCAGCCACTGAATACATCCATACAATCATCCTCATACTAGTGTGTCTGCGTGCACGTGTATGGGTACATTTATGTAAGCATGTTTGTGGAGGGTGAGGGGTGTGTGTGTATTTGGGTATCTGTCTATGCTGCGTCTCTATATTTCACACATAGCATACACAGTGACGATGATGCTTGGAGTTTCTTCGTGCTGGATTTGACATTTTGATGAAATCTAATCTGTCTTCCTGATCCAGCCTCACATGGTGATACTACAAATATGCCTCCTCGTGAAATGGCTTTGCTGAACTAAGACTGATCAAGTGGGATATTTCAAACATACTGCCTCTTGGCGACTGGCACTGTGAACAGTCCCCTGCAAATGGAAACATTCTGGACACAAAACAAGTTATTTTCTTTTGCTTCTGTTCAAAATGGAAAAGGAGTTGTTCTCCTGCATGCACATCTGGGGACAGATATTTTTCACTTCACATCATGACTTTTTTTTTTGCCGTTGTCATATTTTTTTTGTCACAAGGAACCCCAGTGGGCCACTGAGCTTTCATGAGTATGTCTGATTGGCAATTTTACAAACATTCTAGACACATTGCAAATTTCCAGGCCATTTTGTAGGCGTTTAAGCAATTCAAGCAGGTTAGCTCTTCATTTCACATTTGGTGTTTTCAAAACTGCATGAATGTACAGTGTTTCTACAGTATGAATTATGCATCAGAAATGTGATAATATATATATATATATATATATATATATATATATATATATATTAGTCCAAAGCTATCAGGGATGCAGCTGCATAATAGTATAGAAAAGGCTTAATTATGTATCATTTATTATAAAGAGTATGCAAATAATGACAAAGATGTCACCCCTACTCTTCTTACTAAAATGTATTCAAGTATCATTTTAACATATTAATTACATAGCCTTGCTTTATTTTGGATTTTCTTTTTAATATTTTTTATTTATTGTTCACTCAAGCATTTAATTGTGGTGTTAGCCTTACAGATAGTTTTGCTGCCTTTAAATTTGTCTAGGAATTTTATAAACTAAACTGATGTGTAAAGGCAGAGAAAAAAATCTTGTTTTGGCCAAGGGAAAATAGTCATTTTTTAATCGGAAAAGAGGAAAATTACTTTAATAATGAGTCTGGCTTGAGGATTCAAAGGTTTTTGTTTGCAGCCTCTGTGGCCTCATAGCAGGTTCCTGCAGAGCTGATGGAAACAGACTGAGGAAATAAACAGATTTATTTGTGGGTGTTTTAAGTGCCTCCCGAAGTGGTCGATAAACTTAAAGAGAGTTTAAGACCAGGCTGGGACTAAATGCATGATTTATATTGAAAATGTCACATGTGGTTTGTTGTAATATTTCAATAAGAATGGCTCAAGCTTAATGGGTATATATCGGGTCTGAAAAGCATACAGGACCCACTGCGGTACATTTCCTCATGAGGTTGAGTGTGTGCACTGATAACACTGTTATCTACCCTAGCTGCACTGCAGAGCAGCAGTGGATGCTAATGAAATGCAATAAGTGACTGCTTTACTGACTGACCTCTGGGTTAGACCCAGGACGGTAGGCCAGATTTGGAGAAATTGCAATAATAATGAATGAATTTACCCAATTTATTAACCAAAAGGGTCAGACCATGTGGTTCAGCCACCACACAGTTAGTCTATTCATTTTCCTTTATTTAATCAAATCTCTTGGTGATTGTTTAAAGATCACTGCCCAGGTCCCACTTTTCATCTCAAATGATCCAAAATGTAATAATATTGTAATACCTTACAATCCCCGTTGGGAAGTGATGATTTTACGGGCACCTCTCTACAGGGAGGTCAGAGCACAGTGCAAGGGACAAGGCAGCACTTGTACATCTGCAGCGGAGTCGGCATCTTGTTCAAGAAATGCTTGCTCAGGTGTTAGAGCTAACCTTTAACTCGCCATTCCTATTGGGACGCTCAGTTAGCAGCCGGATTTTCTTCAGCATTACAGAGACTGTGCTTCCTGTACAGATGTGTGATTCTGTCTCATATGTCGGCTGTTGAGATTAACATTATTGCAGTTCCTGTACTCTAAATTGTACCACATACTGTAGTTTTGAATTCCCAATATCCTCAGTATGCACTTACTGTTAGGAGGGGGTTGAACCCTGGTTTAATCGTGTTTATCCGAAATTATGTCTCCAGACCACTGAGTGTACTGTTTTTGAAAGGTTCTATGCAATTGTTGTTGTTGCAAGTATTGTAATGCTTTTTTGTTTTCTAGACACTCTGTACTTTGTGTTTGGTATGGTCATTCTTTTATTAAAAATGTAATATAATAAGCAGAGTTAAGCTATTGACATCACTTTCACCAAGTGAGAAATGGAAAACCACATGGCCTAAAACCATATGTCCCCTCTTCCATACTGGAAAATCCACCAAGACAGGCTTTTCCATGCAGCATTCAGCATTTTGTGCAGTTCAGGAATTTGTAGGTTGTTCTCAGACTCTGTAGCGAGAAACCCTTTACAGGATGGAAGGAGTGACTAGAATAGATGACATCCTGTGAAAGTGTGCTGCCTCTGCATCTATACACACCTCTTTAGAGATTCACACTTTCCATGCAGTTCAACTCCGCCACAACAGTGACCTGTGAAATGCACTGCTAGGTTTTGTAATGGCTCGGGTGCTAACTTAAAACTTGCACTGCACTGCATTTTGCTGCTGGTGGGTAGAACTTTTTCATATTACTTCTAATTCCTTATATCAGTCACCAGGTTAAAGTTATTTGTAACTCAAACCTTTAGGTTTTGGCGCATCCAGTGATTACTTAAAAAAAACAGGTCAAGGTTTAAACTACATTTGCATTTTAATAGGACAATTACTATAAGTTTTCATTCCAGTTCCACTACAAAACCTGGAAACTTACATTGGTCTAAATTAAATTTTATTCAGTATAAACATCAAATGGCAGACTGAGAGCTGTGTAACCTATCATAGTGAATAGTCTACAATCATTTGTGTCAAAGTTTTATTGTCGTTGTGAGGTAGTGCCTATATTTTCAACAAAGTTTCAAGAGTTTAACATACGATTCATATACCACGTTGGAAATGAATAGGAAACAATAGCTGCCTGGAAAGGACATTAAAATTCAAGTGGAAATTCTGCAGCATGCTTTGAAAAAATTTCAGCAGGAAAATAAAATGTACATGATTTGTGATTAAGGAGTTAATTAAGGTGTGGTCCTTAAATAATCCGATGTTGACACTGAATTTGCTTCACACAAAGACGATAATCTTTTACCACTGAAAACATCAGTCAGTTTTTATTTTTAGTTTCTTCGCTATCAAAATTATTTTCATTACAGACCATCTTTAGTGGTAACCTGCATCTTCAGTGGTCCAGTTTCTTGTGGCTTAGCATTATGAGAAAATGCATTTTAGCTATGTGGTTTCTTGTGATCTAGAAATTGAAAACCATAGTGGTGTAGACTGCGCTAGATTGCAAAATGCAGTAGGTTTTGCGCTTTACAACAAATAGGAAAAAGTTTGATTTCTGAGTAGCCCATGGAGGATCGTTTTGGGTTTGCCAGAAGAGAACTTTGCTGTGTTAATACTGGTGATGAATCTGGGTACTTTTAACTTGTTAAAGTTCACCTGGTCACCAGAGTAATTCTGACTCAAAACATCTGGAGTCAGAATTACTAATTACGATTTTTTTTAGGACTAAAATGCACATCTTTCCTTTACACCATTTTAAAATATTCTGCATTTTCATGCAGAAATTATCCAAACTGGGACATGCACACAGTAGAGCTGTGTAACCCAACTCTGAACACATTTTTGTTTCAGTCTGGATTTTTTAGTCTAATGTGTTTATCTTCTTTATTTCTAACTAACTCCTGAAATGGGGCTAATGCAAGAAAAACATAAAGAGAAGAAATATTTTAGATTAAATATCAAAGTTTCATTTCACAGCCATACAACTCCATTTACATCAATAAATACAGAACAACCATTCACAATACTGCCAAAGCAATAACAAAATGATATGTGATTTAATAAATTATAGTTTAGGAATGTGGTCTTCTGAAATCCACAAAAAAAAAATCAAAAGAAAGCATTAGTTTCCAGTCCATTTATAAGTGTTCTCAGTAGCTTCCATCCACCTAATGAGTTCCCACTCTTCAGCTTAGGTCCATGTATGTGCTGATATAGGACTCCTACAGTTTATACATCCCAAAGGTTGTTGCACCATCCTTGTAGTCCACCAGTGAGAGGTCGTGTACCCAGACACTGAGCTGGTGTCCTTTCTCCAGTGTAATCACATCTACCTGCGTGACTGTGCACAGGCGTGGGACTGGCGGAGACCCACGGTGGTCGTCCAGATTGCAGTAGCCCTGCATCACGTCCTTCTCCTCTCCTGTCTCTGTCTTCCTCAGCTTGATAATGCTGGTCAGTGGGACCTTAGAGTCACCCTTGGAGAAGGTCACCCTGGAGTAGACATAGTAGTCACCAGTCTCCAGGATCGTCAACCAACTGTTGCGGTAGTAGTTGATGTTCCTAAGTATCGAGTGGTCGATGGCCCACTGGAGATAACCCTCTGGAGAGGGAGAATTTTAAGCATCATTACTGAGTATACTATTTACTTCTAAATCAAGTTTACTTATTGCAATGAAAAAAAATCCAAAATATAATTTCAGTAGTTTCTTACCGGCAGATTTCTTTGATTTGCTTGATTTGTCAACTAGCATGCGTGCCGCCGCTCTATGGGATGTTTCTTGCTTGGCTGATGAGAGAAAAGCAGCTGCCGGAGAAGAGAACAAACTACTGGTCAAATATGTTGTTGAGTATGGATTTTTGTATCTTAATGTATAGAATTATTTTCAGGAATAAATAAATGAAATTAATGTACCTTTTCCATCATCTGAGGGAACGTCTCCCTGTAGGGATGAAAAAAGTCAAATCAGGAACAGAAAAATACTGAATGTAGATTGTCTTACGACACTTAAGAAAGATAGATATAGATATTATTTCAAATCATCTTTCCATTTGTTTACTCAAAATGCTCATCCTACAATGAGACATTATGCTGTGAAATTCACGCCTCACCTATTTGTGAGCATTTCCTGTGCGAGGTGTCAAATGCCTTGACTGTGTGTGTGTGTGTGTGTGTGTGTGTGTATATATATATATATATTTACACAGAGCAAACTGTGTGAACCATCAGAAGATTTACATACATACATTTACATACTCTAATGTAAGCAAACCCATATACAGTGGCACATGCTTTATGTTTTAGAATGAAACTTAATTAAAATTGAAAGAGCTTTAATAGTAATTTCTTAATAAAATTAAGTTTAATTTGAAGTTTAATAGTAGTAGTAGATTTTTTTAAAATAACAATATGGCTTCTTTTTCATAGTAAAATGTTTTAACTTGTAATGGCTTGGAAGATTACTGTATAATTTCTGTAATAATACATGCAGCAGTGCCACCAACTATTAATACATCTGAACTCTACTTAGTGAAAATTCTCATCTATAAGAGTAAATGTTTACCAGTTTGCCATAGTGGTACAGATAGATGAATCCTCCAACCGACAGAAATAAATGCAGCAACACTACACCAACCAAAAACCGGATGAGCGACTTGCTGTGGCCTTGTGATGGAAGTGGAGCCGGGATGAGGACCGGGTGGGACCTGCTGAGGCGCGGAGGCACTGGTGGTGCAGCTAGGCTGGTCTGATAAGTGTTGATCATGGTGGAGAGGAGTGGTGAAACCTAGAGAGGCCTGCCGTCCGTGACATGCCATGCACTTCTGAAGTACTGCTCTCTCAAGCAACTGAGTTTTTCTCTTTCTACTTCCTGGAAGCTCTGAACTCTTCCACATGCAGATCAGTGTGAGATGTGACCTTTATTGAAGGCATGCATATGAGTGCTGTCTTTGCATTTCTTTCTTCCGTTCTGTCAAATGATGTCCCTAAATCCCACACAATGCCATGTGGCCTTGGATTACTCAGTATTTCTCGTCTTATTATTTTTTTGTATTTCTATGTCAATTAGGCAATACTAATTTTAGCCAATGAAAAATAATTTCCCATGACGTTTAGTAGATAATGTAGCACACCATATAGTACACTAATAGTATTTGAATTAGACCACATTATACAGAGCATACCCAAAGGCCTATATTGAGTGTTCACTGGTATTTTCACACAGTTTTAATGCTGTGGGTATTCTCGGAGACACTCACCCAATCAAACCAAATGACCACAGCAGCTGCAAATAGATATGATTATAAAATAACTACACATTTCCTTTGATCAACTTCAATGTAATCGCTAGGCAACCTCTAAAAATACAGTAAGTTGGCTATATGACTATAGGGGAGCACTATGCAGTCCAAAAACAGCCAAGCTGCCGTTTAAGTTTTCACAATATTGGTTTGAATATGGCAGTTATTCATTTCATAGGGAAATCAGAACAAGTGGCCTATACAATTACCAAATTCCAGATTAACATAGCTGAAAGCTTGCTGAATTTACAGATGCATGACGAGGTCTTAAATCTTTGAAAATGACCACAGTTTATGTTGTTTGCTTGGATGTGGTGGCGCATTCGCCGGGAGTGAGACCCACTAATGTTTTTCATTGTACCCACACAGCCTGGATGAGCTAATGTGAAAGGTTTTTTATGTGGCATATCCACTTAGTAGGTCACAGAGTGCTGCATAATGGCATAAGGTCACATAGCAGATACAACCTTGCTGTTGTAATAAATATAATGAAGTTGTTGTTAGTCAGTTCTGCGAAGGCCAATATAGCACCAACACAGTACTTGCATGAGGTACCTAGTGGGTAGAAAACCACCCAAGACAATGGATGTTTGACCCGGTGTTAGTTAGTATTTATGTTTGTTGCATGGTTGTTAACTGTTAAAATCTGCTCTAAGTATTTTTAAACGTACATGTCACTTGATTTCAAATTAATTTGGGTAAATAACTCAACAGTAATTAGTTTACCCAACACTGCATTAGTGCTATAGTGACCCAGATTGGGTGAACTTTTAAACCTATGATTTTTAGCGTGGTTTTATAGTGCATTGTTTTGTCCATTGTTTCTCCAAAGTATGTGTTACATATTCTATACTATGTATGCTGTTTATAGTTATGGTAATGCAACCACTAGGAGAAGACTGCAGATGTTCGTATAAATGGCATGTTTCATGTAGACATTTTGAGCTGGCTCGTAGCTTCCCCTAGTGGATCAAATATTCTCAACTCTAAATATACAATATATATACAGAGTATACATATGTACATAAATAACCACACTGAATATACTAAATTTCTATACCAAATCGTAGAATCCACTTTATTGAAAGTCTTTTGCCTGTGGTGGCAAACAAATATGTGATCATTTTATATGTGATCATTTTATTAATAACATATAAAGTAATGTTTTTTGTTTTATCAGTATCTATATGTATATATGTAAATTGATGCTCTTTCTCTTATTTAAATAGCATATAACCCAGTATTATATTGTACTAATAACTACTTAATTCAATACTCCTGTTTGCTGTGGTTGCTGTTTATTGTGGAAAATGTATAAAATCAAAAAACAGGATGGTACTTCTCTCTCTCAGAGAACTAAGGACAACTTTAACTTGGTCAAACACAGAAATGCATACATGGTACTGTTGTACATCATACACATAATGTCTACATTCAAATATAAAAGAGTTGACAGTGACATCCATCTTCATATGTAAAATCAATAGCAGGGTGTTGAGGGATAGATGGAAAATGTGGGTCTTTTAGTTGCACTTTGGGTTCTGGACAATAAATTGTTCACAGTCTGCCAGATGAAAAAGATGAAAAGCTTTTATGGAGTGTAGTGGACAATGAGAGTGTGGCGGTCATTGTGCCGGCTGCTGAGGATCTGAGGTTGTGAAGTTTGTGAAGCTTGTCTGTGGACACCAGAGACCTGTGTCCTGTGCTGCTCTCCTTGAACAGACTGGGGTTCCCCGCTGCACTTCATGAAGGCCACAAAGCATCCATAAAACTGTGTAAAAGCATAAAAGACTATCATTTCAAGTAAGCATGAATCTGGTGATTTTCAGGTTAAAAGAAGCCAAGACATCAAGTTAAAAATGAATTCATTTGATTGACAGAATGTCAGTGCTACCCTACAGCCCTGCCGTCTAGTGTGCTGCATGTAGCACCTGGGAAGTAAAAGTGAAGAGACACTGAAAGTGTCGGTGAAATAACTGAGACTGAGCTGTATCTTCAGTGTCGCAGGGTGCCATTGAGTTCTCCTCTAAAACAGTCAGTATTTACCGCCTAACTTTATTTTTAGATAGAGCTGAGCAGTTGTATATAGTTCAACCAACAGACCTTGCTTAATATACTTTAAATGCAAAGGAGACAGTGATTCTGGGTCATCGTTCATCACCTCCCTGCCCTCAGCTCTCACCTGGTTGTTAAAAAACCCGTAGATGATGGGGTTGACGACAGTGCTGAACTTTGCCAGGATGGAGGGCACCACACTCGCCAAAGGAGTGACCAGTCCTGACCTACCAAAGGTAGCCATCAACGCCATGATGCCATAGGGCATCCAGCACAGCATGTAGCAGGACACCATGGACAACACCATCACCAAAACGTGTTGCTCTCTGCGCTGAGCTGCCTGCAAATTGATTTTACCCACCTGGAGACATGGAAGAGGAGGAGGAGGAGGACAATAATTTTACCGAAATACCATAGTTAAAGAAAAGGCATGGATCATGTTAGTGTCATTTGCAACACAGACTCTCACCTAAGGAAGGTGTAGCTGGGTATAGGAAAGGTAGATTGGGTAGGTTTGTATCCCTGCACATGCATTTCTGTGTTTTTATTTTGATTTCCTGTCCCATGTTATGTTGCATCCTTACCTCAGTTTGTTCTGTGAGTGAGTACTTGTAAGTAATTGTAACATATCTTTTTTTTTATGTGTGTCATCCAGTGGTAGTATCAAAAAGACAGTGTGATACACAGCAATGCATGCTGATACTATCATCCATTGCTCCTAGAGGGTTTGTATAAATTACCCTGGTTATGCTAACAGTGTTATTATTTCACAGTTTGGACACTCTTCTCCCCAGAGCCACGAACGGTTCCTCATGACAGGTAAACTGAACTGAATGTATAAAATCAGCACCAGTACCACTTTAAAATCAATGACCAACATTGCTCCATCTCTGTCAAGTTTGTGCTTTTTTATCAATTGTAAAACAATGGTAAAAAATTGTTATTGTTAATAATTATTATCCATGTATCAAGGTTACACACTGGTGTAAATTTATTAAAAAAACAATTAGCTACAAGACTGGGAAGACTTGTGGTATAATTTGTGAATTAATGCTGGAATTAGTAAATATGTAGACATGTAAGACACACGTAAGTAATGGTACAAGTACAATAACCATAGAAACATTCATTAAAAAATACTGCATGGCTACTAAAGATGCTGCGGCATGTTTTATTACATCTTCCCTGCTGGTTTCTCCTGATGGCCTGTAGCTGTGAGCTAAAATTAGCTCAGATAACCATATATCACGAGCCAAGAAGTTATCTTGCCTGTGACGCTCATCTTGCTGCTTCATGAATAAATGACAACAAAACCCCTGCCCTTTCTCTCACACTCAATTACATTTCACCTTGTATGGTATTTGGTCGTAAACTTTGTTGCTTTGTCTCCTCGGCCCCCTATAATGTAACAACTGTTCTCAAATGTTCAATCAGTGGTGATTTCTGCATTTCTGAACTTTTGTTCTGTTTTGAATATACCCCAAAAAAAGTATCACATTTTGATTTTGATAGCAACATATGACAGATACATTCATGGAGTGCTGCATAATTGTGTTCCAAAATTAATTAAAATACATATATATATATATATATGAAGTTTTGTTTTGAAATAAAATTATATGTTTTTATTAGGAAATATGTTCATTGTCAATTCAGCAAGACACAATTATGGAACAGTAAATCTCAAAGTATGTGTGGGTTCGTATAAGAAGCTTCCATGAATGGAATCTAAATGTGATGCTGTCATGCAGAGAAAAAAGAAGATCTAAGCTTGAGCAACTGATACTGTTGATATAAATGTCATCTCTTGGTCTGACGTGTCAATGTAAGCCACCCTCGGGAAGTCAGCAGAAGCTCCACAGACTGATTGATCCAGGCGAGGCCCTCAGTTGGAAAGCAAAGGGTGCACAGCAGAACCCAGATTCAACAGTGCAGTAAGGAAGTCTGCAAAGCCCCTCTCTACTCTGACTCCCTCATTTGCACAGAGTAAAAGGAAGGGGAAAAAAACAGGTATCCAATAGTAACGGGTTGCTTCCACAATCTAAAAATACATTTGATGTGATCCATTGATAGGAGTAATAGATACAAAGAGCATGAAGGTACCTAACAGAAATTGGGAGCCCTTAATTATCAATTATTTGTGTGAGTGGCAAGTTTATGTAAGCCCCAAGGTGGGGATGAGCCACTGGAAACTGCATGGGTCATTGCCCTTGAATGCACCTATTCACTCCCCTGAAGATTTTGCCCATCATTCCTTCTCCTGCTGGATTGGTTGTAAGATTGTAAACAGGTAGCTGTGGCTTCTACGATTATCTGTCTTGATACTCGTTAAAATCTTCTTGAAAACACATGACCAAGTGTTATTGGGAGTCTGACAGCCATCACTCAACCTCTGAGACACAATATCGATAGCCACAACAGAGCCCTCTTTAGCAGAGCTATAAAGGCTTCATGGCTGAGCAGATGGATGCGGCGAAAGGCAGCACATTATCCGTAGAAAATGACAGCTATTTGCAAGCAATCTATGCCATATGTGCTTTATGCTAAACCTTTGTGTTTACTGTCAGGGAATTGTTCCTGGAGATGATGTAAGTGGAGATACAATGTGTCCAGCCATTCCAGAAAAAGGTAGACAAGTGAACCACTGTTGACTAAAAAAGGAAAATGCCTCTGTCAAGCAGAACGTTAAGCATCTTGGAGCCCTTCAAGGTGGATTTACTGGGAAATCTCACTCAAAGCATGAGAGACATAATTAAAAACACATTTCCTAATTGTATGCAAAGATACGGTGTTTGCATAATGGTACAGGTATCTAAATGTAGATCTAGGTCGTCTTAATAACCACTTTTTATAATATCAGCAAAAGAAGTGGTTAATTGTTTTAAAAAATCTTAAAATTGATGATTTTTCTTTTTTTGTCAGTGAATATGTAAATCATGTAAACATTTTTCACTACTTGATGTGTAAACAGCATACTATATCTGGTGTTTGTTAGTAAAAACAGCATGCCCTTGTTAACAATGTAACAGATTAGTATGAACTCACCCTCCTGATTGCAACCAGGATTCGGCCATAAGAGTAGACCATGAGTAGAAGGGGCAGCAGCAGGCAGAAGATGAAAAGACACAACACATATGAGACGCTCGTGGGTGAACGGAGGTGCCACTGGACGGAACACGTGGTACCGGGTCCTTCGGGCCCGTAGCTGCTCCAACCCAGAAAGGGAGGCAAGGTCCAGAGGAGAGAGTACAGCCAGGAGCCTACGACACAGAGCCATGCTTTCCTGAAGTCTGAGATGTCATCCGTTGAGGAATGCAGCACGGTGGTGTAGCGCTCATAGGAGAGAACAGAGAGGGACACCAGGGACACAATCCCTGAAAGAGCAAGAGAGGAGAAGACAGACAACATACTCATCACAAGTTATCAGAATGCAATGTGTGAAACCAATTCTTACTGAATGATTACTGGAAAGGAAGCAGCTTCATAAAAAACTCCAAAGTAGATGCTAATTGTCAAAAATGATGTGTTATATTTTCAACAGAATATGTAATGTCCTTCCTAATATAAACATTCAGTGTGCTTTTTGTTTACTATAGGGGTAACCATTTACTTTATTCTACGTCAGTATCATGATACTAGATCCTTGTGACAATCTGCTGCTATGTATGTGAGCATGATACAATATGCATTATGTAAGTCTGCTGTCACAATGTGTTGATCAGCATTAGACATGTAGACATTGCAGACCTTATTGAAGACCAACTCTGTGACTGACTGCATTTCACTTGAATGTGAAAGCGCTTTTTTCTGTTATTGAGACAGAACGGCCATGAGACCTTCAAAGAAAGATCCTGCCTCACTTATGTTGAGTTGTTGCCATTTGTTTTTATTTTTTAGCCATATCAATACATGTCCGATGGCAATGTTGGTCTGTCAGTCAGTTCACCACTTTCATGTAGACTTAAATACCTGCACAACTATTATAATATTACAATATTTGATGGATTGCCATGACATTTTGTGCAGGCACTCATGGTTCCCACATACTAAATCCTAGTGACTTTGGTGATCCCTGACTTTCCCATTATGCCCCACCATCAGGTTTAACTTCTCAACAACTGCATGACTGTTTGCCATGACATTTGGATCCTGCATTCAAGTTCCCCTCAGGATGAACCTTTCGATACCTTTATGGTAGCAGTACTTCAGTCAATACTTTTTGTAACCAGATTGCAGCAAAAAGGACTATTTGTAGGGGAGACCGGGCATGGTTGTAACACTTTTTGCTTCAGCAACTATAAATCGCTGAATTTTTTAGCTAGAGTTCTCAAACTTTTATACAAAGTACCCACATTTGTTCACTACAAATGGCACCAATTCAGTCCTCTACAAGAATATCACAGACCTCTTGATTTGATGCCAAATGCATTGTGTTCAATTGTTACAACCTACCCCAATACCGGGGTAGGTTGTAACAATAAGACAAAAGAAGCAGAAAGAAATGCCACACTGCATGATATGCTTCAAAAACAGGTAGTGAAATAAAAGAACAATGTTTCTCTCTCACTGCAACAGACTTAGTCCGATGACTCAAGCACATGTATGTGTATGTAAATTTATCTGTAACTTTAACTTAACACTATACATAATAAATACTACTACAATGTACTTTATTAAAATCTAATATAAGTCAAACAATTTTATCTGCAATAGTATAGATACTAAACAACATATAGTCTGGTCAAAAAATTTACTTTCTGACCTCAAAATCTGTTTAATAATTGTGCCTATTTCCAGCCTTGATAACCACCATGCCTGATCGGGGAGGAAGTAGGAAAATACTGAAATGATCACATAACTCCTATCTTATCTTTAATTGGTGGAATTGGTGTTATTACAACTGTTACAACCATATCCGGTCTCCCTGTGGTTTTGCTTGCAGCAACACACTAAAAGAAAGAGAAGAGCATGCATTTTTTTCCCCTTATGTGCCTGCACCTTGAACTGTATTTCTAAAAGGCCTGCACGCCTGATTTTAACAGCCGCTCACCTTCAGCTGCGGTCTCAGGCACGTTCCTCACCGTTACAAGTTTATCACCACAAGCTTGGCTTTCGTTGGTTTCATATTCTGGTATCATTTAACACTTCTCTGTACATTTTATATTTGCTATTCACATCACATCAATTAAAGCTTTTGTTGCGCAGCAGAGATCCGCTGATTTTAATCTCAGAGCCTCCGGCTGCAGCTGCGGCTGCTTCAGGTATGGTTGGTCTGATCGGCTGGACGTGCAGCCTCTCTTTTCCTCTGTTTGTGAGTCTTTAGTGTAGTTAAGGGACTTGTTTAAACAGACTCCTTACTCGATTTATAATTGTTACTGTCGTTTTTTAGGAGGTTTGCGACTCACCAAAAAAGGAAAACGCACTTATGGAGATCTTTCACTTCAGTTTATTGATCGAAAGTTAACAAAATAATTTTCCGTTGTTTACTTTCAACCCATGGATCAAAAAATAACCTTAAATTCGTTTCCCACAACTTATTTGGTATCTAAACGATTTCACTCCTCTCTCATTCGAATATAAAAAAAGCTGTATAGTCTTTCCCAATATATTACTACCCGTGAGGATGACCTAATTAGGATGAAATGGATCTGATACCATTTCCCAATACTTTTATGTAACAGTTATTTGAAACAGGAAAAAAATAAAATAGATATCCTTGTTTGTCCATAACAACAATAAAAATAATAATAGGCTACAATCAACTACTATGGCTTCAACAGGTGGCATTTTATGCAAGGTATCTTCTTGAATGCCACCTGTTGATACTGTATTGGTATCGGTATCACTTTAAAGGTACTGGTTTTGGTACTGGTATCATAAAATTTTCAACGATACCCAACCCTATGATTCCCTTAGGCCTACTTTTCATATAGCGCCAACATCCGATCAAAATTGAATCCCAAAATTGAATTCCAATCAGCCTTGACTCCTAACTCTCTAAATTTATCATCCACCTTCCTACATTCAACACAACTGGGTGGAAACGAGAGTAAACAGAAAAAAAAGTTCTATATTTGACCTCACTGCACATATGTTACTCACCAAAGAGGGAATTGGCGAACCCGTACCACTTGCAGCCATAATCCCCAATGAGCCACCTCCCGTGCACACTGGCGGCGAAACTGAAGGGTGTCCCGAAAACGCACACGAGGGTGTCGCTCAGACTGATGTTCAACAGGATGAGATTGATGGGCGTCCAGAGGGAGCGAAACTTTGCGAAGATAAGAAGAGCGAAGAAGTTGCCGAGGAATCCCGCTACTAAAATGAAGCCGAGGCATACTGCCACCACCGTGTGGCCGGTCCGGCTCAACTCGCCGGGTCTCTGGGGAGCCGGGGAGTCCCACAGGGTGGCATCGGTGCTGACGCTGGAGCTGCGGAGAGAGCTGTCTGTGGTGCTGAAATTGCAACCGCGTATGTGGACGACCATAGCACTGACAAGAGAGCAGGGGGCTGTGGAGGAGCTGGACACAAAAACAGGGAGAAGCACAGTCCTGCACAGCCCCAGTACTGCTTTGAGTCCTGTCAACTTTATACCTGTACCCCTGTAATGTATGTAAATACCCCACCCCTTCTCCCCTGCCCCACACAAGCACTCATTGTTTTTCTTTCTTTTCTCTTTTACTTTCTTACCATCTCTCTGCTTATTATAATTTGTCCCTTTGATCACAATGGCCAGTGTGAAAACAGTAAATCCTCCAAATGTATTGCTTTCCAGCTGCAAATGCAATGCCTTTCAAGGCGCTGTGCTGGGTTTATTTTGAGACATGAATCAAATTCTCTACTCACACCGAGTTCCATTGGATTTTAGGATTTTTCAGTGCAGATTAAGCGATTGTCCAAAATGAAGTTCTAATTTCACAGTCACACTTGGATGTTCCGCTCCAGAAATACAAACTTTGGTTGCATGCTTTTGCTAAGCTGTGCGTTTCACATTCACAGTTGCCCCTGTCTATAGCTGCATACAGCTGGTTCAACTGAGCACAAAGCAAGTCACCAACAAAGAAAGTTTCACACCTCTTCAGCATTTTCTTTTATGTACAGCCTCCCATGCAATAAATTAACTTCCCTCATAGCTTTAAAGGACAATTCTAGAGTGTTTATGTTTAATGCTATTTGAATTAAATTAAGCATTTTCAAAATCCTTACAGGGAGCCATTAGCTCCCTTTAATTTCTGCATTGTGTGCATTTATAGAGACTTGTAACTCACTTGAGTAAAAACATAAAACACTAAATGTAGTAATTGTGGTCCTATAGAAAAGCAAAATCCAGTCACCTTTTTGGGCATTTCCCTATCTGTTGTTCTGGCTTTATTATTTTTTCACCAAAAGACACAGATGAAAGGACACAAACTCATAACTGATAACACATTAAATAAAATCTTTATTATTTTAATTTGACACAGGCACACTGCACATCTGATCTCCTGGTCTATCAGTGTGTGTTTATATAAAATGCTGAGGAGAGAAGCACTGTTGCAACTGAGAAGACAAGATGTTCTCTCTGTAACCATTACAGTGGCTACATGCCTGGAGGGACTGACGTCATGAGGCTCTGCCATGGCAGGGAAGATCTCTGTAAATCTCACTTGCTTCAGTCACTGGTGTCACTTGGCCTGTTGAAAGCTTGATAGTAATCAATGCAGACCCAATCCCCTCATCCTATCCATATGAGCCACAGATCAGCCTGATTATGCCTGCACACAAGGGAGAAAGTGAAGTGGTATAATAGTTTCAAGCCATGGCTGCTTAATTCTTCTTTTTAAAATGTTTTTTAAAAAGATTCTTTAATTGTCAATGAGAAACCACTTTTACTCCATAGTTGCTGCAGCTTCTTTTGCACCTGATTCTGGCTTTTTTTACACCACTGATTCCATGTGTGAACTCTTTTGTCACAGATTTGGGTTGGTTGGGCGTGTTTTGGACTTGTTTTCTGTGTTCATTCCCTGCCCTTGTGGTTGCTGTTCTCTGTAGTATGTTTTACTTTTGTGATTTGTTTGTTAATCATGTTTCCTTGTAATTTTGAGTTTTACTAGTGTTCTGGTCTTGTTTTGCTGTCTGTGTTCTTTGCTTTGATAGGTTTTGTTAGCAATGCACTAAAGTCCTCTGTGTTATGTTTTATTTTGTGATTTCATGCCTTGTGTATTATGTGAACTTTACTTTCTGTTTTCATTTGTGGTTTTGTCAGCCTCATGTGTCACTGTCACACTTCCTGTGTTGGCTGTCTCTGGCTGCTTTTGCACCAACTTATCCTTGGGTTACAATGAAATAGGCCATTTGGACGTGTGAAGAGGTACAATAGTGAACATACTGGTGAACAGAGAGTGTTCATGATGAAGAGTGTGTGTCCTCAAAAACAGCTTGTGTATAGTATAGACTCATTTGAAGCTCACCTAGTCCTGACACTTTCTGCTAATAAAATTTCCATTCAAGAATTCACTGGGTGACACTAATGTAGCTCTAAGGGGCTTCTATGTAGATTTCCAACAGCAGCAGATCTCTATTGGACCACAAAATAACATACAAAGTACATTTGTTCCTGGATGGTGACTTTGAGGGGATAATATTGGCTACTGTATAAATAAAATTATATCCAACATGATCAACATTGAACTAATCCGTAGGGCATGATTAAAGCACTTACAGGAATAAATCCAGACAAACAATATAATGTAACCATGACATTGCAGCCATTTCCCCCAAAGAATGTTTTATTTCATAAATGCCATTTTTTGTCATCAAGTCTCTGTCTGTCAATCAAGACAAACCTAGCAGAGACAGTATATGATTGGCTGTCTGTTCATTCAGACCAAAGCATTTAGTAACTGTTCAGTAAATTTATTTATGCATGTGATTATTCATTTCATGAGGTCTCATTTATTTATTCAATATTGAGAACCACGGGCTTCCACAATTTCAATAACTAAAGTTAAAGATAAATCATTATGTAGAGGTGGAAGTATCCAAATGATTTACTTAAGTAAAAGTAGCAATACCAAACTATAAAAACAAGTACAAATAAACAGTCCTGCATTCAAAATCTTACTTCAGTAAAAGTACAGAAGTATTAGCAACAAAATGTACTTAAAGTATCAAAAATGAAATTAGATTTTTATACAGAATTTCCCTTGTCAGCATTATATTATTACATTTTTGGATCAGTATTGATACATTAACATGTAAGCAGTAGGGTCATTTAATGTTGTACTTAAGCAATGTGAAGCTTTTTTAATTACTTAATATTATTAGTAGTAGTTTAATCTATAATACTGCACCATATTAAATTGATCATAAATGTTAATCTGAAACGTAACTAGTAGGCCTAAATATAGCTCTCAGATACATGTATTGGAGTAAAATGTACAATATTTCCCTCTGAAATATAGTAGAGCGGAAATATAAAGTTGCATAATATGAAAATACACAAGGAAAGTGCAAGTATGTCAAAATTTTACTTAAGTTCAATACTTGAGTAAAGTACTTTCCACCAGTGATCACATGTCTTTATGTATTTGTATATCAAACATCTTGTACAGTACATCATCATGCTCATGCTCATGATGCCCATTACTTTACAAAGCCGGTATGGTTTTTGATATTTTTTTACTTTAGAGATATTTCACATTATGAATATATAAACTAGCTATTTGTGTTCAACTTTGAGTGATGGTTGTGTCTGCTCACATTCATTTTTTGTACAAACTTCGAAGATGGCTGTAAGTTTAAAATTACAGAAAACAAGTCATTAACATAACATCACAGTCCTTCATTTTTTTGTTCACTTGGATATATAAAATATTCTCATAGCTAGTAAAAATGCATCTAGGTGAACTGTAGACAGCTATTAACATGTATTTATACACTCAAGAGGCTCACAATGTTCACATTTAATACTGGTCTATTTACTGGCATAGGCCCACTAAGAGAAGTGGCTGAAAAGGGCACAAGAAAATGCCCTTCATCCACCTCAACCACAAAGGGAGCAACAACATATATAATGCTCTAAGATCTACAAGAGGAGTGACAAGAGTTGAAGAACAGGTTTGTCAGAGTGTTCCCTTCGAGAAAGATTGTTCCAGTTGGTACATGCTGTGGTTGCTGAAGTCATTTCACTGAGAAATGGAGTGAGCGGGGAGGGGAAAGGAAGAGCTGCTGTTTCTTCTGTGTGTTGTCAGATCACACTCAGAGGCCTGTTTGACGGGAAAACATCTAACATCTACTGGATTATACAGAAAGCAAGGTGGCTTTTCAAAGCCACAGGAATGCGGTGTAGTTGAAGCTGTGTTTGCTGGTGAAGTCGCTCGCTCTTTTCAATACCAGTACAAGTCCTTCTTGTCCAGACGCCGTCCTGACAGAGAGGAGGCAAAAGATTAATGATTTCTAAGCAGCACTAATGGATGTACATCTTTCTCTTTTAACCCAACCAGTCAAGGCAGTTGGCCAACCACCCAGACATTGGTTCTGCTCAGGATTTCTGCCTGTTAAAAGGTAGCACTGTTGTCACGTGCTTGTTGATGGCGGGACTTGTTGGGTCTCTGTAAATAATATTACATAGAGTATGGTCTAGACCTGCTCTACATGAAAAGTGCAATTAGATAGTCACTAAAGTTTATTTATGACACCTTTCACAGACAAAGAGGGATCACAAAGTGCTTCACAGTAAAGAAGTGGTACTTTATGAATAGCACATAATTATGTTATTTTGAGTTAAGTTTTTAGATCACATGGACTTGTTGTTAATGCTTTCCAGTTACAACTCAGTTGGTACTTGTTGGGTATCTGATGCCACCATGGTCTCATTCCCAGGTCATCAAGTGCCCCTTGGCATCTCATACAGACCCACAAGGTACTCTTTAATGTCTGTATGAGACACAGCGGGCTGCCAGAAAGCCTTTAGGAAGTCAGGAGACATAATACATAATAAGTGCCAGAAAGTCCATATAGTGAGGTGGTCATAGTGGATGGTTGGGCCAGACAAACACAGAGCTTTACCCAGAAGATTGAGCTTTGTGTCCCGTGTGAAACCAAAAGTCAAGAGTTACGTACTTATTTGAACACAAACCATGATCTTTTCCTAAACCTAACCAAGTAGCTTTGCTGCCTATGCCTAACCAAACTGGACAGTTTGACGATAACCACATGTTTAACAAAAAACACATACTGTACATATATAATGGGGACGTAATGTTGTTATAGGTTTAGCAACTGATTAAGCATTCTAGCAGTTTTCCAGGAATTTACTTTCACCCTTTAAGTTGGGGGATTATTTTATAAGTCAACACATAGCGGATATAAAAGGGTACTCCATCAAATGAGTGTTGCTTTTCCACTAAGTATGGGAATACTTACATAAAACAATGGTCAAAATTGATGCAGCAGATGTCGAGATATTTTTACTTTTAAGTCCCTAGTATGTGACCGAAAACCTAC